CAGCTTTTGCAACCAAGAAAAAAGAAAAGGGGACATGGAAAAAGCAAAGAAACATTGATGTTTGAAGAAACATGACAGAACTGAAGCAGATAAACTGGGAAAATTCAGATCTGGAGGGATGCATCTGAGAGTGCTAAGACTGAATGGGTGATAAAAGCCATGGAAAGAAAATAATTTTAAAAACGTTATCTGCCCTTCAGTGGGAAGGTGATACCTAGTCATGTAAGAGAGTAAGTAATATAGGAGCGTTTCCTTGGTGTAAGTTACACGACTGCCTGCATGGCATTGTTTTCTTCTCAAAAATTAGTGTTTGTTTGCATTTCAATGTCTTTTAATCACCGCTCCTGGTGGAAAAAATTAGGGTTGAGGTCATAGTATCCTTTCGAGTTGTGGAATGAATATCCAGAAGATCTTTACAAAGCCATCTGCAGGGCACCTTCTACAGTAGCTCTGGACCAGGAATTGCCTCTCTCTTGGAAAGACACTTCTGGTAACACATTTCTTAGGCAGCTTATAGGGAGCCACAATTGCTTTTGCTTCTGGACAGAGGCTCAACTTCTCTGGATCTCAGAGATGCTGGACTGTGCAGACAGCAAGACAGCAGAGGGCACACTGCAGTCAGTCACTGCAGGTACAGGATATCAGAACAGTCTGAGAAAAGATCACACAAAAAGCATGCACAGATGTCTTCTGAGGTGCTGTTCAATGAGAAGATCAATGTCCTGATGGTTTGAAGCATTTCAACTTGGCAACATTCTCACCTGTCCTTTCTGAGTTTTTCAGAACACAGTAAAAAACATTAAAACAACAGCAAATTCCATGCTGTGGTATCAGGTGGATAAGTACCAAGGACAACAGCGAGGCTGGAGCCTTTAGCAAAAGATATTAAGCATCAGTCTTTAAAATAGGCCAACACGAGGAGAGGATGCTATCCGTGTGCCTAGTGTGTCCCACAGATACCTATAGACAGAGGAGGAGTGACTCTGTGCAGGAACAGGCCCTGGAAGCTCCTACTGACAGCATGACCCAGCCTTGTGTTCCCAGTCAGATTTTATTTCTGCCTTGCCTCCTTGTTCCCCATGGCTGGTTTATTTTTCCAGTCCCCTTTTCCCTCTCTCTCAGTCTTGGCCCCTGGTCTTTGTTCACTCAGTCCCCAAAGCATCTGCCTACCTGAGCCCTGAGGCACACTCTCCCTCCTCTCTGGCATTTCCCCAGATACACATTTCCTGCTACCAGTGCCCCTTCTCAAGCTCCTCAGGCAGTCCAAGGTCCCTAAACCTCAGCTGCTTCCAACTTTATCCCTCCACTCCTCCCACAGTCCAGATTCTACCATTTCTATCCTACGTATTCCTGGTCACTCCATGCTACGCAGAGTCACTGCCTTTTCTCTATTTCAGTGTAAGGAAGCTTGTACCAATATAACACCTTTAATTCCTATCTTGTCCTTAACTCTCTGTTCTGCATTGAAGGTAAATGCCCTCCCTTCTCTAAGATGCTTCGGCAACTGACAAAAGCAACCTAGGAGTACAGGAAGGACAGGCTCCCAACCTCCAGCTGTGAATCAAATAGGTAAACTTGTCCACCCTGTGAAGAAACTCATGCTGATGGCTTCTGCCCTCCAAGATGTGAGGTGGCACCTACATACCCACCCAGGGTGCAGGAAGTGCACAGGCAATCTCAGTGGCCTTCAGCTGATAGGATGACACAGATATAAGCCATCAGCTCCATTTTATCATCTCATTGTTGATTACCTTTCAAATAAAAATACTGTTCTTGTTGTAGAAAGGCTGAATTTCAGTGTTTGTGTATTGAAATGTAACAAATCATCTATGTATCCTTGGGAAAAGCAATGGATTATCTCCAGCTGTATTTACATCTTTGGGTCATTTCCCAATGGGAGATGGGAAAGGCTGTGAAACATGGTGGTTGCAGTCTAACATTCCTAATGACAGAAATTAGTATCAACTTACCTTCCTTGCAGACTGATAAGGTTGCACTAAAACTTCCCATCATCTCCAGGCCTTTTAGAGTGAAGAAAACTCAAGCTAAGGCCATTTGTTTCCCTTTCCATACTGCTTGTAAGACTGATCCTGGTTAAAATAAAGGCAGAAAGAAGTGGGCTGTAGCTGAGAAGGCTGAATACAGCAGGGGGAAGAAAAGCTTGTGGCTGAAGAGCTTGGCTATGGCTAGGACAAGAGAAAGGCTGAGAAGGTGGGGACAGACATACTGGACTCTGTCTGAAAACTAACTGATACTTTTCCACTATATTTCCTGCAAAAGAAAAAACATTCCAACAGGCACACTTTTATTCCTTAAAAATGTGGCTGTTGGTGCCAACAAGACAACCCCTCTCTTACAGTGTATTAAAAAACCCCATCAGCTCCCAACTGCTAAAAACTCACCGTTTTTACTGAAATTTTCCGTTCTTGCTCTCTGCCTCAGACATGTACTTCCTTTTAAGTTCTTACAGAAATAGCATCATTGCTTTCTGAAAGAGGACTTGGGAAAAGAATAGTTTTAACAGCACAGACTTGTTTTTCCAACCATTCCAGAAAGGGGTAGAAATTCGGAGAGCTGTAACAAGAGCTTTAGATTACAGAGAGGAGACATCTCCTGCATTCTTTTTTCTTGGATCCTTGAGTGACCATGTCAAGAACTTGTGTTTGAATTTATCAGCACAAATACTAGTCTTTTTGAGCTAACTGATTGCTAACTGCTAAGTGGTAGAAAAAAAACACAGGAGAACCTGGTTAAAAATTGTGGATTCTGATTCCTCTGATTTTACAGAGGAGTTCACACTCCTAAATCTTGGCAGCCCCACACATTCCTTAAGATAAAATAAAAAACTCCTCCCCCTTCCTTTTGTGACTTTCCTCTTTTTCTTTCCATACTTGCAGCAAGACTATGAAATTTGGCAGGATACTTAAATCAGGGTGAGAACTTTTTTTTTTTTTTTTTAATGTAGTCTCATGAAAATCTGTTCAGATTTTGGGTTGAAGTACAAAATGTCACAAGTTTTCACTTCCCATCTGTGATTGGCATAGCACAGCTTGCAGTTCTGGCCACATGCCATAACTCCCTGACAGTTTTACTGCCATGTGCAAGTCCTGGCCCTGTGTCTCATTCTACCACTTTCTAGAGAGCTTTACTCCAGCTGATCTGTTGCCAGCAGAGAAGATGTGGCCAAATGTGATACAGGAAAACTCTAGGATGGCTGACGTCTAGATGCGTATGTATTTTTCCCCAAGCAAAACACTTGTTGGATTACTGGAAAACTGGCCAATGTGGGGAGTTATGGACTAGTGGGTGGACTACAAAGTGGGAGAAGCAGGCTGGACAAGTGGGCTCAAAATATTGTGGTCAACATTTCAAAGTCTACTAAGAAGCCAATTGCAAGTAATATTTCTCAGAGGGTTAATTCTGAGACTGGTTATCATATAACATACCCATCTACACTGTGGAAAAGGGGGTACAGAACACCTTGAAGAGTTCACAGATATCGAAACTCAGAGAGGTGGTGGACGCACTGAAGGGAAGGGCTGCCTTAATAAGCTGGAGAAGCAGGCTGGGAAAAACTGCATGAGGTTCAATATTGATAAAATGGGTGTCTTGAGAAACCCCCAATTCCCAGTGCAGGCTGGATCTCTGCCTAGAAGGCAACTTTGTAGAAAAAGGCCTCGGGCTCCTGATGGACAACAGTTGACAATACCCAGAAGTATGCCTTGGCAGAAATAGGCTAAAAGCATACTAGGCTGCAGAGGCAAGAGAGCAAACTAGGCAAGTGATCGTTCCCTTTTGTCAAGTGCTCATGAGGCTGCATCTGGGACAGTTTCCATTTCTGGTTTTCCCTGGTCATGAGAGATATCAATATACTGAGCTGGGTCCTCCAAGAAGATCGGGTATCTGAAATATGTAGAAAGAGAGGCGAGGGACCTGAATTTTTGGCCTGGAGAAGAGAAGGTTGTGGGGGACTCAATTTCTATCTCAGACTGTAGAAAAGGCTATGAGAAAGTCAGACACTCCATAAAGGACCAGATTGAAAGAGTGAGAGGAAATGAATACAGGTTGCAGCAAAGGAAATTCCAACTAGACTTAACACACACACACAAAATCCCATCAGCAGAGCCAAGGCGAGTGGCTCAGAATTGGGATTTTAGGATTCATTTGAACATTAGCAACCTTATCTAACTTTAGAATTAGGCCTGCTGGGAATAAGGGAATGGATTTGAGACTCAAGCGGTCTCTCCCAAGCTGTCCTCTGATTCTATGAATACAGCAGTAGCAATTCACAAACAACAGGACTGACATTTGCTTGAACTGACCTTCAGGGTTGGAGACTGGCACATGGTTAAGATTGGGTAACCTATAACTCAGAACTACAAAACCTCTCAGCTCCCACTGTCCTGAGCATTCACCTCGTAATTGATTAAAGCATCTTGACTTGCAGAAAGGAAATATAGAGTATTCATCATTCTTCCCTCTTACATGACATCCATTCTGGGTATATGGACCCTCTTGCTCACAAACTCTGCTTCCTCAAATCATTATTGGACACATCTGAGCCCTCCTGTTTAAGTAGTGCATTCTCTGGGAGCTCAACCTGTAGACACCTGTTGGCCAAACCCTTCAAAGACGAGTGCAGCAAGCCTGACGGTAATGGAAGTCCTCACAGAGGAATTCCTTAAATCTCATGAAAGGGCTTGCATTTCTCAGTGTCTTAAGTTACAGACTTTAGGAAACAAAAAAAAAGCCTCAGGAAGCACTGCTACGCATTTAGTGAGCCTGGCCCTCCAGAAGTCACTTGTTTTTTCAAATGGAGATTGAATATGATGTTGATTACCTAGGTATCAAGTATGAGACCTAGAGCGCGCAGTCCTGCTGCCCATCTTTCTGCCCTTGCAAAATCATTTCAATTCTGTTGAGTTGGACCAATAATTAGATGGCAGCTGTCACAGACAAAAACCACAGTTCAGCAATCAAAGGCAAAGTAAAATCCTTACTTCTTTCTTCCAACACCTGAGGCACGTGAATAGCTATTCTTGTTTCGGTGCTTGTTTTGCCCTCTCATGGAAGTGTGGGAAATCTGAGGCCTGCTTCATGCTGAGTTGTCTGAAAAAAAAAAACAGAAAAGTTGGCAAAGTCATTCTTTTGTCCTTGATTCTAGATGGGTCATTTTTTTTTGTTTAAAACTCTGTTTCTTCTTGGAATTAATGGATGTCTAAGTCCTTACAAAATTAAAGGAATCAGACTGATAGTTTTGGTACCACATTAAACACCCAAAGTCTTACGTTGTCTTAGCTGTGGTTGCCCACAGTAGTAATCAGCATTTAATGAAGATAACATTTCAAGCTGCCCTCCCACTGCTCAGTTCATCTACACAGATGTACAGATGTACACATACACGAGGAAATTGGATCCCAGAATCACTTTCTATGTCTCTCTTAAAACTTACTTCCCCATCTTTACATCCCCTCTATAAATAAAAGGGCTTAGATCATAACATATAGTGATATTTGATTCAAAAAAGGGGCAACAGGAGGAGGCAGTGGACAGAAAAGAAAGAGCTCGTTACTGCATTTAAACTCTATTTGTTTCATTTGATGAGCACAACCCCTTGGGTTTAAATGGCCTTCCTGCTGGTGACAGTGTTTCTAAGGCCAGCTCAGAAACTGTAAATCATAATATGTATGATCTTGTATAGCAATTGAGTACATGTCTTCATCAAGTGCATTTTGTTGGCAACTCCATCCATGACAGAGGAGTTGAAAGTCAATGATCTTTAAGGTCTCTTCCAACCTAAGCCATTCTATGATTTTATGAGTCTGTGATCAATAGCAGGCTTCCCAGTTCCTCACAACCCCATGACACATTAATTACACAGGCAGCACATGATGTTCCAGGGACGTCTCCTAAACCACCTTACTCCACTACCTTTTTCTGAAGAACTGCAGGCATGATTCTATACTAAGTGAATACTGTCTTTGTGGTATTTGCCACGGTGCAGGAAAATTTGTAAGCTAACAGGGTAGCTAAACAAGACCTAACTTCTAATGATAAATCACAATTAGAAGGCTGTGGTATCTCTTGTATTGAACGCATCGATTGTCAGCTGCTGCCAATAACACAAAAGATGATTCATTCCTTGAGGTTCTGTTTCCAATTGAGCAACAGCATCTGATATTTCCTTCTACCTGAGCCTTCAAGCCATGACAAAACATTATATTTACTTTTTACTTTCTTTCTGCAAAGCACTATAGTAAAAATGCCCTTACCAATCCTTTTTTTTTTTTTTTCTTTTTTTCTTTCGTTCTTTTTTTTCTGGTTTGTTGTATCCTTTTGGCTAGGAATCACTGTTTCTCCTTATCCTTCAGCCTCAGTCTTGTCTCTGCAGACAATGTTTTTTTCATTCCAAGAGTCTGCAAGAGCCAAGGGAGCTTGTTATTCTTGCACAGGTCAGGCTGCTTTCTTTGTTTCCTTTTAAAATCCAGCACATCCCACACTCTGCTTCGCTTGCTATTTCTAATAATTTATTTGTAGACACTATTCAGTGTTGGACTATCAGATGTATTCCTTCCTCATATTCTTCCTCCATTTTTTCCCTTATTCTGTATGAAATTTCAAGAAGAAAATATACTAAAATAATTTGTCTTCCTCTGATTATTTTTTCACTTGCAGGTTAAATCCTTCTGATTTTAGAATTGTGTACTAATAACTTGGTGGTACAGAATCTTGAGGCTTGTGAAGAACATTCTGGAGGACTGTGATTTGCTTTCAGTCTTAGCCTGCAGTCAAGCATATGACAGAGAAAATTCAGACATAAGAATACAGTTTTGCAGCATTGGCTTCTGTATGCTCATCTGTATGCTACCATCCTCCTATTATTTTAGCTATCTGGAGTGTTATTTTCCTTACTTTTACTATAACTGAGCCTGATTTCAAAGCAACTGCTGTGGAGGTCTTGTCAAAGGTTTAATTGTCAGAATCCCTTCTTAGCCTTCCTCATTTATACCTCCCTTCGGACTGTAAACTGTGCATTTATACTCCTCATAGTATAAATCTTGATAGATATGTCAATATTCCTTGTGCAGATGCTGACTTTGAGGGGGATGTTGCTATTCATTAGCTGTTTTTTTTTTTTTTTCATTTTGAATCAAATCTGATGCTTCCTCTTTCTGCAGCGTGGCCAAAATAATTCAGTTCCTCTGTGTGGATTTGCATTTTGCCATGGCTGAATTTTAGATTGCATTATCTGCCTCTTCTAGGCAATGCTATTAGGTTTTTTTTGTCATGTTTCTCTCTGGGTCTGTCACGCATGACAACGTCATCAAGAGCAACTCCAGCTCTTCACCGTCTTTGTGTTACTTTGTGAATCGTTCAGGGCATACCTCCAGGATAGGCAGTGTTTTTAAGAGGCAGCCGCTTGAAGTGCTGTCTTCTTACACTCATCAACATGCCACTTTCCTGGGCCAGCCTGAACTACCAGTGCCCAGATTGAGTGTTTGGTACAAAGAGTGTAGATCTCAGCTTGGGTCTGTAGATAGCACTGTTTTCTCTTATTGCTTTCTTTGTGTCTCAGTAGTCTACGCAGCTATAGATTATAATTACGTTTCTCTCCTTTCTTGTGATTACTCTGCAAAATCATTCTGACGCTTCCACCACTCAGTTGTCCTCATTTACAGCACACATTCTGCTTTCCCATCCTTTCTCAGTCTCACCAGTGCTGGATGCCACTGTGTATGTGCCACTGAGTCCATAATTTTAGGTAGCTGCTTCTCTATTGCAGGGAGAGGAAGTGCAGGTATGGAAATCCCAAGGGAACCCAGGATGTCATCCTCAACAATTCCTCCTGATTCAGTTTCTTTGCAGAAGGGAAGAAGTTAATTATTCATTATCCCCAGCTGCAGCATGACTCCAAGCTAGGCAAATGCCACTTCCACAGCCTGGCAGCCACATGGCAGGGAGTAGCAAAGCCCAAAGTGACTCCAGTCTCATTGTGGTGTTCATCAGGTGTCCAGGCTGTGCTTTTCCTTTAGACTGTCTCAGGAGGCAGTTGGCCTGTGCCCTGATGAGAATATCCAGCATCACATCTGTGCCTTGTGGCCCTGCTGTGAGAATTACATATGGCTCATTGCTTTTCTCCTGTGTTGTGCCAGGAAGAGTGCAGTGCTACTGCTGCTGAATTACTGTCCTCGTTGCTGTTCTTTAGTCGCACACATAAGGAGTGCCAGGTATCTTCCTGGCTGCTTGAAGAAGCATTCACACCTGCGCTCCTGAGAACTGAGCCTGCTTGTTGCTTTGTGTGATGCAGTACATGCACCAATGTCCTGCTGATGTACCTTTGCTACATACTTCTCTTTAAATGCTGAACATCACTCAGGCTCTCTGCTCTCTCCCTCTTCTCTCAGCAGTGTATGACTGTCTGCTGTCCATGTTTTAAGCTGTACAGCTCCATGTCCATCACTAGTAAGAGCTTCTCAATGCCTGTGCTCTCTGAGCACTCTCTGTTCAAATGCTAAATGATTCTTCATTACTGATTTTCTTTGTATGCCCTTCTGGCTTGATCCTGTTAAGATCTTTTCCATCCGTACACTGTGAAAGCAGCTTTTGTTATAGCTTCAGCTATCCACTCACTACTAGTCCCAGCCTCCCTAGGACTTTCTTTCCTAGAAAACTTGTTTTTGCGCAGAAACATTTTCCTTTGTAGAGCCTCCATACATGCACTGTTCCTCTCTAGATCATTTTGTCACCCTGTAAGCCCTTAGTTCCTCTTCAGTTCCCACTGCTCCCAAAAAGGCTCTGCTCCACCCCATCCCTTTTGCTGTCTTTACAGAAATTCCCCAATCCCTTGCTCTGCTCCCCTCTGCTACTTCTCCTCCATCCTTGCTTCCTTCCCACCATACCCTCACATCTGCACTCTGCTCCTTTCAGGTCAAGAATCCTTGCTGCCTTTGCCATGGCCTCTCCCTTGATGTCCACAAGGAGGAAGCCAAACAGCTGGCTTGGTCAGGAGATGTGGATTTGAATTTTTTCAGTCTGACTTCTGATGTTTCTCAAGCACCAAAGTGACCTTCCGTGCTTCATTTGTCTATCTGTACTGAAAATTGGACTTTCCATCCCAAAGAAGAATGCTCAAGGAAGGCTGTGAAGATCAGGATCTGACTCTTGCATAGACTTCTTCCATGCCTCAGAAAGATGAGTGTGCATGCAAGAAAACAAGCGAGGCAATACTCATGCTGAATTACTCCTCCCTTTGCTCCAAAGGAAGCTACAACATCACAGCAACACAAGATGGCTCAACGTGTCCTCTTAATGTAGTTTTTGAAATATGGTATTTACAGGAAGTGTCTCATCTTACCATCTCAAGGGACATCAAACCATGGGTCACCACTGTCCTGCTCCTGCATCCCTACAACTCTCTCCCCACTGCATACCTTAGCAGTGAGTCAGACCACCAATTCATCCACTGGACACGTTCCTTGGTTTACTTCCAGCCAAATAACCAAGCCTATTTGAATTACTCAGCACCCTCACGTGCAAGCTCATGTGGGCCAGTGAGAGATGGTCCAAAGTCTGAGAGGGAGTGGTAGAGGTGGAGAAGTACTATGGTCTCTTTTGGCAGCACTCCAGCAGCAGATTAGCTAAACAAGACCATGCACACTGGCACAAATCAGTGAAGGGCTGCTGTTGGGCTTCTTTTCATAGAATCATAGAATCACCAAGGTTGGAAAATATCTTCAAGATCATCCAGTCCAACTGTCCACCTATCATCAATATTTTCCAGCAAACCAGGCAGGTCACTCAATCATAGGAGATGAAGTTGGTCAAGCAAGACCTGCCTTTCATGAACTCATGCTGGCTAGGCCTGAACCCCCAGTTGTCCAGCACATACCGTGATCTCCCTCAAGATGATCTGCTCCACCACCCTTCCTGGCACCAAGGTCAGGCTGGCAGGCCTGTGGCTCCCCATATCCTCCTTACAACCTTTCTTGTAAATGGGAGTCACCTTGGCAAGCCTCCAGTCCTTCAGTACTTCAGTACCTCTTCAATTGGCCAGGAATACTCATAGATGGTGGAAAGTGGCTTGGCTATCACCTCTACCAGCTCCCTCAGCACCCTCAGGTGTATCCCATCTCGCTGCATGGACCTGTGTCAGTCCAGGTGGAATAATAGGTCTCTAACTGCTTCCACCTGAATCGTGGCGGGGGTTATTCTGTTCCCCACCTGAGATTTCCAGGCCAGGGGTTAGAGTACCGTGAGGATAACTGGTCTGACTTTCAAAGACAGATGTAAAGAAGGAATAGAGAACCTCAGCCTTTTCCTCATCTTCAGTGGTTACATTCCCTGCTACATCCAATAAAGGATGGAGATTCTCCTTAGCCTTCCCCTTACTGTTAATATATCTGTAAGAAAATTTTTTTGCTCTCTTTTACCCAACGGCCAAGTCAAGTTCAAGCTGGGCTTTTGCCTTTCTAATTTTCTCCCTGCATATCCTAACAACTTATCTGCACTCTTCCCAAGTTGCTGGTCCCTTCTTCCCCAAGAGGTAGATTCTCTTTCTCTCCTGGAGCTTCAGGAAAAACTCCTTGTTCACCCATGATGGTCTTCTTCCCTACCGGCTCATCTTGCAGCACAGGGGGACAGCCTGCTCCTGTATCCTCAAGATTTCCTTCTTGAGCAGCAACCTGCCTTCCTGGACCTCTTTACACTTCAGGACTGAATCCCAAAGGACACCCCCTACCAGAGTCCTAAACAGTTTAGTGTCTCCTCTCTGGAAGTCCAAAGTAGCAGTTTTGCTGGTCCCCTCCTGAAAAGAGACCAGTTTTGCTTGCCCCTGTAGCAGCCTCATGATTATGGCAGACCTGCCTTGCAAGGCTAGATTCAAATATCTTTCTTTTTTAGTAACACTATCAGGCAACAAGCAAATTAGGAAGTTTAGCGGCAATTACTCTCAGAAACCTGGTCAGATAAAAAAAATGTACCCTCTGTTTCTGCACACCTGAAGTCCAGTGTTAGTCCAGTGTTAGCAAATATGGACCAATAGGCATAATACAAATAATAAATAAAAGCACCAATTAGGTCTGGTTTTGTTTTGTTAATCTAGGGAAACTGTACTCAGACACTGTCTTGGCACTGGTGTAAAATGGGTGTAAAGTGAGAGCAAAATGAAGCCCTGTGTGTCTAGATCTTACTTCATGCAAGAAAGGTTGTTCAAGAGGAGCTCCTCCCTGAAATCAGAGGAAAGTCATTGTATTGCTTGGCACCTGCCCAAAGTGATTTCATTTTCTGCTGGGGATTAAGATGCATTAATAGCCTGAGGCCAGCGTTTTCCTTGCCAAAAATGTCTTTCTTCCCTCCTCTGATTATTTTAAATATGAGGGCTTGCAGGTCAGGAGTGAACACCCAGCAAGTATTACTTGAACCATCAAATGAAAGTGCAGCAGTATCATTTTCTCTTGAGCAAACACTGAATTAATTAAAATCTGCATTCTGAACTTGGCAGATTTCACATTTTTCATAAGAAAAGTACAGGTCTGTACATTGAAAAGGCAGACTAAAAATAACCAGAGATATGACACCTGAATGGCAGTCTTTAAGACTTTAAGCCACACTAAAAGTTTTTCTGGCAAAACGCTATCTTTAAGACTGTCATTTACCCTCAGCTTGCTCTCTACCTCTGAGCAATATAGCAAAACTGGCAAAAGCCTTCATGTTAATGTGATTATGCTGGCCAGAAAATCCTTTCAGCAGCAGAGCTATGTTCTCTTTGGGGAAATGGCATAACCTACATGGGCCAAAGCACTCCTGCCTGCCGAATAGTACCCCACAAGGGAGCAAGGCCAATATAACATATAATCAGTGAAAAATGTTTCTAGCATTTGGAAGCCCAGGCCTGCAGACATCAGCTACCAGGCTTCTGCCACCAGCTCGTGGCTGGCTGTTTGTCTATAGCAGGCTTATGATAGCAGGAAGCTAATACATCACTATTCACATCTCTGTATCAACTTGGAAGAGCTGTGCAGTTCTCCCTTCAGATCTCGAGAGAGAATTGAGTCCTCACACAGGCAGAATACAGGGTGGGACAGATATGGGGCAAGAAACCTGAAGGGCCCAGTGCCACCAGAGCTGATGCCAAATAAAAGTAGCAGCAATCTATGTTGACAGAGCCAAAGCAATTTTTCTTAAAGATTTTGTGCAAAGGATACTGCAAAAGTAGAGGGAGAACAGCACTTCTCTTGAAGTCCACATTAATAAGTGTCTGTACACAGACTGAAGGTTGATTTACCTTTTCTCCCCCTCCAAAACTCCTTTCTTTTGCTCTGTTCTTATAATCCAAGTTCAGCTGATTTGTGTAGTGACACACAAGTATGAAATTTTCCTTCTCTTCACTGCACTTGTCATTCTCCAGCAGATTGATCTGAAAACACAAAGTCACTTTAGTCATCTGAAAATACCAGGAAAATGTTTTCATTCCTACCTGTGTGAATCTGGAACAATCTCATCTGCTTCGGTACATTTGTTTGATAGCTGAAGGAAGCCAAATAGCAAGCTGAAAAGGCTTTGAAGGTCGTCTGGCTTTCTGCACATCCAAAACAGTTTAAGAGCAAAAGGCTTTTTTGTTGTTGTTGTTGCACAGTGAGATGATGTGGACTTCATGCTTAAATTCAGCCCTTGGCTGTAGCATGGGGAAACTGGAGCGATCCTTATGAAAGATGCTCAGAGGGGACCCAGTAAGTGGAGGTGAGGTACCTTGAAGCAGAGACATAGTAAATCTCTGCTGAACTATGTGTCTAGGTTTACATTAAAGAATAAAACATTTGTGCAGCAATCATTCTGGGCTCAGCAGTTCCTAACTTGGAGAACAGGCTAGCTTGCTAACAGATGAATTTCCTAATTCTCTGTGTAGGCAGAGCAGAAGGGTAGAACTCTCCCAGCAGTACATGACAATTGCCTTCAGTGTAGGCAGAATGGCCAGCAGCACACCATGCCCATCCCAAGGGAACTGCCAAAAGACACTGAAGCTGTAGCAGCCACAGGAGGATGAGGGAATGGCTGCCATACAGACCTTGCACTGCAGAGACTGGTTGGGACCACAGAAGGTATCTGACACGGATTTGAGCACAACAGTATGGACTGGGCTGACAGCTGCTCTGCACCAGGAGTCAGGCAGGGATCCCATCCTCATCTTTCTGAGCAGGAGCTCCATAAGATGGTCTCTGCAGTACAGGTAGGTGCCAGACACCACTGGGATCTGCTGGGAGGCATCTGTTTATCCCAGTAAGATGTTCTCCTGTGCCTGCCCTTGCCTCCACAAAGGAGAAAGAAGCACCTGTGGTGGAATCTGCAGCATCTATTATGCATTGAGTGAATAACAAGGAAGTGTTTGATTTTCGTCTAAAGACATCATCTGCATAAGAATGCACTCTCATAGAAACCATAAGACTTCAGGGGGTGTGTTAGAAAAAGAGAGGGTATTAAGCAGAGTAAAGCATCTTCACTGTAAGAAAGGTTTTATCAAAAAAAAAGGTGAGCCAACACTCAGCTACAAAATAAAGACAAGTGTTCCAGGCAAAATATGACTAAAAAATGAGACATTTTATATCTCCAAAGGCATCTACAAGGAGAAGAATTCAGGTTATGCACTGAAATCCCAAAAGGCTCATATTAGGAGCACATCTGTATAGGTACCCTTGTAAAATGAAACAGCTCTTCAAGAACTTGCTGAAATAATGAGCAGATAATAACTGTCTTGGGGCACCCAGGTTTCAGCAGCATGCTTAGCTTGACTGAGAAGGTGTCTGGAGGTGTGAATGGGCAGAGTGCTACCGCCTATGGAAGACACTACACCTGATATTGACAGCCTGGAACAGCTGGAGGCAGGGGCAAATGTGTCTGAGATGGCTGTTTCTATTGTGCGGGTGGAGATCAGACCCTGAAATGGGTCTCTACAGAGAACAGAGAGCTGACTGCATCCGCTCTGTATTAAGGAAGTCTATGGACAATGAGTCTATATGTCATGGAGATGTAGCAGTCCCACTTCATTTCACGGTAGATTTGTGCCGCTCTGAATGTGAAATTGCCCCTTCAGCAGCTGTTCCAGAGTCTTCCAAGGGCTAATTTTGTGAAGCAGTATCTGCCCGCCTGATATCAGCTCCATTTGCTACTGAAAAGAAACAGAGCAAATGTAGCTCCACTCAACAAACAGCGAGTCCAAAAAAAGACAGTGGAAAGAGAATGGGAGAGCTATCAATATCCAGGATGGTGAAAGGCACAGGGAGTAACTGGAGACAGCCAGCATGGCATGAAAGACAAAATCACTGCCCTCTCTTCTCCTATTAAACTGACAGAAATAGAGACAGATGATAAATAAATGCAGCTAAGTGGGATGAAAGCCTGAGGGAAGCTCCAGGAGCAACTCAGGATGCACCAGTTTTTAGCTGATCTCTAGGTCTGATGGAACTGCCAGTGGCAACGCAGGAGCTGATGTTAATGCAAAACTGATTCAAGATGTTCCTTAAACACCAGGCAAGGAAACTCGCTTGAATTGCAGCAACAGCATTATGTCTGCCATAGTTAATGGCCCACAGCAGCAGATCTCCTCCATCTCTCCTCCTGCCTACCTTCTCACCACTGCTGGAAGGATGTGACACCTGCTCAGGAGCTGGTGGTCATGAACTGCAGCACTGATCTCTGCTCCTTATCCCCAGACTCTTCTCCAGACTGGACAAAGTATTAAGAATATAGGTGAGCTGAGGACAGTGAAGAGCAAAAACATCTATTATGCTCAAACATTTATTATCACAGCCTTGCCCAGCTTAGTTTTTTCTAATTGAGAGAAGCAAACTTTGGTATCTGGATCAGTCTGTTGTAGCAGACCAACCGTGGTCTGTGTAACAAGGTCTGGAGAAGCCTGATGCCAGAGCTGCTTCCCCTGCTTATGCAGCAGCTAGCTTGGAAATGCCACTGAATGACAGGAATAGTGCTGCAATCTATAGGATGCATTTTGCTGAATCTGGAGTGAACCTTGGGCTTCACCCCACATCCTCAGAGATCATTTAGATATTAAAAGCACCTAGGATCAATCTCGGAGTGTGGTTTGCTTCAAATTTATGTTATAGCTAAGGACCACAGAAATTCTGAAGCATATTCAGCAGTGGCATTTCAATAGCAGAGTTGGTTTTCTTAATCTGACCTCCTATATTCCCAATGACAAGCACAAAACATACAAGTTTGGTCTCATCAAAAAGCTCAGCAGCCACTGTTGCCTTCAGGGTGAATGTTAATCTTATAATCTCCTTCCTTCTCTGTGTTGCAGCATAATGTGTGTAAATGTACTGCAGTAGAGATCATGCAGAATCTGGTTCATGGAGCCTTGCATAAGCTTGGGTGAGACCAAACAGAAAAGCAAAAGAAGCATCCCTGGGCTTTGTCCCTGACCCATACAGAGGGCTCTGCCATGAGCAGAATCTGAGACCAGACTCAGAGCTGATTTGTTCATAAGGAAATAAATGTGACCAGTCTTGCACAAGCTCTCACTCAGGTGATGGCAGGGCTATTTCAGGCTGGAGCTAGTAGGCACAGGCCAACATGCAGCCCAGTGAGCAGGCTAACCATTAAGCAATGCAGATGATGGCAGACAGTCTGCTGCTTGAGCTCGTGTTTAGATTTACTAATATGGATAAAGCCTCTAATAATACAGTGGGCCAAATCTGGTGTTACTTTTGTGTCTGAATGGTAGCTCAGTGTCATCACCCAAGGGCAAACTGCGTCTGAAAGCAGCCTGTAACAACAAATGAGATTTTTTTACTTGCAACATAATGAAAAGAGCTCATCTTAGAGTCTAAGAAGTAGGGCTTTGTACATGCCAACCAGGAATGCTTAGCAGAGGGAAGAAGTAATCACTGGCTGTGATGCCATGAGCTCTCCTGGCAGCCTAAAGCTTGTTTCACTCTTTCTTCTGCATGCAACAGCAAAACCATACGCCAAGTGCTAGCTGCAAATTGAAGTGTCAACTCCCTAGACAAGAGAAATGTTGCATTTATGAGTAAAGGGATTGTTTAAGACTGAAAACAAATCAACACATTTGAGTTAAGAATTCAGAAACAGCTCCTTAGACAATTTTTTCCTTAAAATTTTACCTTTTCCCCTCCAATTAGTGCAGGCTGTTCAAGCAAAAGAAGTGTCCCTCTCAGGGAGGGGAAGAAATGCTCATGTGGAGGAATAGGACAGGCAGACATTTTGCAAGCTCCTTCTCCAGTCTCTGCTGATGCACTGCATTCTGCTAATTTAATTCCTCCAGAACAGAGACAGAGCTTGTCTAATTGGTTGTATACTGGTGCTTATAAGACTAACACCACAATCCAACCCCAGTGATGCCCTCCAGATGTGATTGCCTCCTTCAGGTTAGAAAGGTTATCAGAACAGTCACATCTTTTAAATTCCCTGGAATGTAGGAAACAGGGTGTGTACAAGCAGGGTTTTGTAGGCATTGCGTGCCTTTTCTTACCGCTGTTATAATTCAAAAGGAAGCTTTCAGCAAGAGTTGTATTGCTCTTAAAGTCAAGCCCACCAGCCTCTGTGGAGATAACAATCCAGTCCAAATGGCTGTGTGCTCCACTAAGGTACCCTAAGAACCGAAGTGGCAGAGGAGCCAAGATAAGTTCCCTTCCCTTTTCTCCTTCCTTTCCCTTCTGTTATGTCTGCTTGGTGGCTAATAGTAAACTCACACTCAAGCTTAATGGGAATTCCTGCTGCTAATCACTTTTGTAGAAGCCTCAGGGTGGAATGGCAGTAAATGCCTGGGTGTATGGGGCAGTCTGGCATTGCTTTAAAAATAAACTTTCCTTAGTTATCTTATTCTCCCTTGACTTTCACACTCTCTTCTTGCTAAAAGACAAGCAGAAGAAATGAAGACAGCTCTTCTTTTTGTCTCCCAGACAAAAGCCATTTCTTTCCATGTCCTCCATCCTGTCCCATCCCAATCTGTTTTGTACATACCACAGAGGAAGAGCTTGGCTGGACCCCAGATCCCCTGCCCTTGCAGGACACAATATGATTTGAATGCAGCTGGCCATGCTGCACAAACATCTGCTAGCTGACAGACAAAGTGAAGATATGAACAGAGCAGCAGAGGCTGCACAAGGCTTTGCAAGCCACCAAGTACTGGATGTCTAGCACTATGTATATGAAAACATGTACCTGAATTCATGATCTCATTGCTATCGTAACTGAATAATGTAGTTTTGCTGCCCCACAGCCCAGGAGAGGAGACCAGTTAATAATATGCTATTTCTCTAATACAGAACATCAGCTAAGTCTTGGCAAGAGCAAATGATTTGCCAAAGACCTTGACGGGAATTTACAGGAGACAAGGGGACTGAACCTGATGTTTTCAGTCTAGTGTTTGCATGAGATGTTCCTTAAAGATAAATAAGGTGAAAATGGACTGAGAGAAGTGTGAAGCTCCTTTCAAAACTTGAGGTTGTTATTCAAGACCGAGAAAATGACATAACATTGCAACACAGGCTAGATAACGTGGATAAAAGTGCCTGAGAATAGGATTTTTGAATTTTGTTTTGGCATCTGGTTGAAGGTAATTTGGACTCAATAGAACATGGACTACTGCAGTATCCAGGAGTCTTTAGAAGCCTACAGATTTTAGGGCACTACAGAAAATATAGGAATCTCCCCTGGAGAACTGACTGTTCATTAAGACACCTGCTAGTGCACCATATACAGCAGATTGCATATAAACAAGTAGCCTGGCAATATAAAGAATGCTTTGTGTGACACAAGAAGGCATTACAAATAAATGAATTAGTAGACGTCAGAATCACCCACCACCTTACCTCTCAGACAAAGGATTGCAGCAGCAGGCTGCTTCCTGCAGTCCTACGCTGCACAAAAGAAGAGTATCACAGAATCACAGAAGAAGAGAATCACAGAAAAGGAGACACAGAATTTCCATATATTCTGTTGTTGTAACATTGCTATGATTCTGCAGAGACTGAGACGGTCTTTTAATATTTACTTACCAAAAAAAAAACCAAAGAAAGAAAGAAAGAAAAAACTCCATGAAAGCTGATACTTTGTATGCCAGATGTATATTTGGTTCCAAAAGGATGGCTTTAAATCTATCAGGAAATATATAATAATTCAAAGGATTAATATACTGAGTGCATGTGACAAAAAACAAGCAAACCAAAAACAAAACAGCAGTTCTCAGGTAAGAAAAACCTATTCAAAATTGAAGAGTAGAATGGAATTACAGTATTATAGAATCACAGAATCATTAAAGTTGAAAAAGACCACTAAGATCATCCAGCCCAGCTGTCAATCCATCACTACCATACCCACTAACCGTGTCTCTCAGTGCCACATCTACATGGTTCTTGAACACCTCTAGGGATGGTGACTCCACCAATTCCCCGGGGGGCCATTCTATGCACTACTCTTTCTGACAAGAAATTTTTCCCAATATCTAGTTCACCTCCCATGAAGCAACTTGAGGCTTACTTGGCAGAAGAAGCCAACACCCACCTCAGTACATTTTAGGGAGTTGTAGAGAGCAATAAATTCTACCCTGAGCCTCCTCTTCTCCAAACTGAACAATCCTAGTTCCATCAACCAATTCGCTGCCCTTCCGTAGATGGGCTCCAGGATCTGAATCGTAGAATCATAGAATTGGTTGAATTGGAAGGGACCATTAAAGATCTTTTAGTCTTACTTCCTTGCAATGAACACGGACATCTACAACTAGATCAGGTTGCTCAGAGTCCTATCCAGCCCAACCTGAAATGTTCTCCAGATTCACCACATCTCTGGGTAACTTGTGCCAATGCCTGACCACCGTAAATAACTTCTACCTTATATTCAATCTAAATGTCCCCTTTTTTAGTTTGAAACCATTTCCCCTTACTCTGTCATAGCAGACCCTGATGAGAGTCTGCCTCCTTCTCTCTTACATCCTCCCTTTTGACACTGAAAGGCTGCTATCAGGTCTCCCTGGAGCCTTCTCTTTCCTGTAGCGAGGGGCCCAAAACTGAATGGAGTAAGCTGAAGGTACTCCTTTCTACTTCTTAAATGAGCTTAGAATCCTTAAAAATTGCTTTCAAATGGGAAGAATAACTTTTGTTGCAGCAAAAATATATAGCAAAAAGAGAAGTTGAAAGTTCTCTTCCAAACAATAATTTTTGTCCTCCTGGTTGCTTAAATTATGAGTGCTGAATTTCTTACTGTTTGTTTTCTCAAACTTCCTATGGTCATCAGACAAATTAGCAGTGTTACCACAAAGATAATATACCAGTGAGTTCAAATTTTAACTTACAAGTAATTTATTTTCCTATTAATCTGTTAAAACGACTTTTGTCTTCTTTGTGTTAAAAACTTTATATCAAACAGCAAGGATTCTCTTTAAGGGAATTGATATCTTTTTAAGATTTTTGGTTCAGATCTGACAAAATTCCCATTTCACAACTGACTCTTCAGCAAAACCTCTACAAAGTTAATGAAATTTCAGGCTTAGCATTCTCACCTGAAATAAAAAATCAAGCAGGAAAAATATTAAAACAACAAGCCAACAGTTTTATGTTCTTTGTATATATTTTGTGAAAAAATAAACTCCACAGAATTGTGTGGTCTTTTTCTGTTTGCAAGACACCTTTAAAAATATGACTCAATCTATTATTTTAGCATTTGAAATCAATCTTCTCAGGCCCTCTGAAGTTTGTAGATTGAGCAGCCTGCCGTGCAAGGAGCCAGGAAAATAATTTCTAAGCTAACAAACTATCACACCAGACTTTCCTGGCAATTATTTTAGGTGTGACTGATCAGATAGTCTTCTCAAACAAACTGTTTTAATTATGTCAAATAATGCTGTAAGCATACCTAAGCTCTCCTGAGTGTGATTCCACACCAGAATCTCCCAATAATCACAGAATTATGTAATAGCCTACCACGGACTTGTCCACTTGACAAGAGGTCTTTGCAGCTGCAGCAGTGTTCAAATTTGCTACAGGCCCACAAATGAAGTGTACCAAGCAATGCTGGATGGGTGTTACCCTCTTAGGCCTTCTTATAACCACTGCAATGGGGACATGATTCCTGGGAACTGCATTCTTTTCTGTCTCCCTCCCTAATTCTGTATACCATCATCTCTGTACTCTCTAACACCTGACTAGTGTGTCTCTGTGTGGTTACTGAGACCCTGTAGGTCATTTTGGAGGTGCTTGGTAAAACAATAGCATTTTGTTCTGGATTCAGGAATGGAAGTAACAGCAAGCAGCTCCTGTCTGAGCTGTGCTGCTCTATGAACGAAGGAGAAAAATCAGTTTCTCAAGTGACGTTCCGATGCCACTCTCATATCTCACACACAACATTTGGGAACACATTTGGGAATAAGAACTGTGTCTTGTGCAGCTCTGCTGATTTTATGCCCCAAAGCACAAACATGGCAGAAGAGATACCACTGAAGCTTGGAACAGTACAAGCTGCATTTCTGTTTGCTTCTCCTCAGTGCCCAAGTCATGCACCCCATGCATGGCTCTCAACCAGTCCCACTGTAGGAACAGCACAGTATAAACAGATGGAAGACACCTACCTGCAACAGTTTTCTGCCACATTCATCAGTGAGAAACATGGGCTGTAATCACCTTAAACATTTTGCCACATTCCTGTAAAGGAAGGAAAAGCAAACATAAAAAACTCGTACCTCAGTGACTTGCAGTTCACATTGAAAGAAGCAATTGAGGCAAAAGGAAAGCACCCAGGAAGGCTTGAAGCTATGGTCACAGGTGCAATGGGTGCCACCAAGGCCAGGAGCAGTGTGGCCACTGTGCAGAAGATTATTTTGGAACACAGAGACCTTGTGCATAGGAAATAAGAGCTTTACAGTTTTACATATTTGGTCAGAGCTATCCTTTCAAGCAGCAAAACTCTCCTGCTTGCTTTTTACACACATTTGAGACCATCATCTTTATTGTTCAGCATGGACTGTTAAAAGCTTCCTAATTGTGCCATGCAAACAGCTTGTGATATACAGAACAGAGTCGGTACTGAAGCCCTCAAATGATGCTAACCATGGCCAAGTATTTGGGAGCTGCAAAATCTGAGCAGCTTGGGAATGGAGAACGTTCTGAATGAGTTGCTCAAGGAATTATCTGAAATCTGCCAGTCTGGCTGACACTGTGCCTAGGAAGAGCAAAGATGCCTCTTGCTGTTTCTGCCTGCAGCAAGAAAGCACTGCCTGCAGAGGAGTAGTCCCTTAGCATGAAAATCAGTTGAATTTCATTGGCTGCACAAGTCTGACTGGAGGCACGTCCAAATCCTGCTGTGGGACTGCAGAGAAGACTGGAGATTTCTTACGGTTTTAGATGTATTTATTCTCTTTTCTGCCACTGGAGGGCACAGCTCACTTTCCTGCAAGGTGAAACAGAAATCACAGGGATTTTGCCTACTGAAAAGGTTTGGCATTCTTCCCATCTTCCTCCATGCTTGCTTTCTGGCCCTTTGGCTGGACCTGAAGACCCGGCTGAGAAGAAGAAAGTATCTGTGACACAAGTGAATGACACATAGGCACAACTGCCTGTTGATAGGCATTTTCCTCAGCACAGCTTTTTGCTACCAGAGACCTGGTGCCTGCTGATACACAAGGTAGGGCAGCCAGTTCTCACTTTGCTCTGTTTGAAAGAGAACTCGATACTCAATGGATTGCATTTAGAAACAATTCTGCCAAAATGCCACATCTCCTGGTTTTGCTCTGCCCTGTTTGTATGCTGCCATGGGTTTGTGTGGCAATAAGAGCCTTGCTTGGGGGCAGTGATGGCTCTTGTTATCACTAGAAAGGCTATGCAAGGGGACAAGCTGTGCAAGACAGTACTGCCTTGCTTTCAATGTCAGGGACTGATTTTTGAGAAAGAAGAGATGCCACCTTCTGCAGAGCAGGGAGTGACCTTTTCTGCAAACAACATTTTATCAGCAGTGAGTTCTTATATAATTTCTCTTTCAGCAATCACAGGCAGAACAGTGTGACCATCAGCACATCCTCTGTTTTGAGATGACAGAAAAGAGCAACCACAGATTTGAGCCCTTTTTTGTCTTATTCCCTTTTACTCTCAGTGCATTTCTGAACTGCCATAGGCTTTCTGTGAGGACTAAGGACTAATTTCCCAGATGTGCTTTTCATTGATGAGCATTCATCCAAGTAAATATGCAAAAGCATTTCAGGTTGGGAAGTGCCAGGAAATTGCTCTGTTCCTGATAAGACATGTACAACTGATCTCCAACAATGGCATCAACAGTAGTTTGGTTTGTTGATTAGAGTAATGAAACTTTGCTTTTAAACATTACAAATGAAAAGAAACAAAAGCTGTATTAGTGAAACCGTTTCAGTTTGTTGAACTAATGTTCTGTGTGTCCTAGTTACTAATAATTTTGATCATGATGAATAGAGTTGCTCAGATACAAATACATAAGGAGTTACAAATAACTGTAATCTTCCATCCAAATGAACAAAAGTCCATATAAAATAGGCAAACGTGATCTTACCACAGCAGTCAATTAGTAATAACAAACATCAATAGTAAATATTATTTCAGTTTTGTGTTTTTTTTTTCCCCAGAAACAATGGATATTAATGAGAATTTGGCAGATGAACTGTAAAAGCAAAAATAAAAGGCACTCCATGATACTGCTATGTCCAAGTGCCAGCTATCAGCCTGCGAAAGACTAGGAAACTACAGACAGTGACTTACCCAAGCAACAAGACTACATTTCCATGCAAACTATCAGGCTGCTAAAAATAAATGCCAGGAGATTGAAAGGATCCACATTATATAAGCAGAAATGCATATAAATCAGCATTTCATGAAAGCTCACCATAAGGCATCAGCAAGTCTTCAATGGGTAGCTTAAACATCTGTTTTTGTTCTCTGTCTCTGACAAGTTGGCTCTCCAAATGCACCAGCTGCCAGGCTACCAGCCCTGAAAACTCAGGGAAGGAACAGACAAGCATCACCAGCAAAGAGCACCACATGACTGAACTGTGTGTTCCCAGGTGCCTGAGGGAGTTCTTCTCAAAGAACTCCAGAAATGTGTTTAACCCAGTAGGGTTAAACCTCAAGATGATTATGCAGCAATCACAACACTCCAGATTTACTCCTGGGTTCCTTGGAAAATCGAACAAGCAATCTCCATTAAGAGGTCCCAGAATATGGGATGCAGTCTGCTTCTAATCGACAACGTGGTCAACAAAAAAAATGGTTTAAAATGCTTTTCAGAGAAACTTTAGTAGACAGCAGGAGAGATTTCCCAAAGTCAGTAAGAGATGCAGGAACAAAAGCAGGCCTCCCACTGCCTGCTGTTAGTCACAACACACCAAGCCGCAGCTTGTAGCGGTGAAGGATGAATGAGCACCTCCAAAAAGGAGACAGACAGCTGTCACATTCAGTGCTCTTCAGTCACGTTGGTTTAATGGGTAAGAACTTAAAACACATCTGAACCTGAATGGCCTACTGATAATGGCAGCTGGGGCCATAGGCCAGACTGCACATCACAAGCAAAGACCACTGTGCAGGTTGATGGTAAATCCCACGGTCCTGGTAGGAGATCATTACGCACAAACCTCTTTGCATTCCCCTGCAGGCAGCAGGGATGAACAATCCTGCCCTGCTGTGAGCTCTTCTGCCTTGAAGAAATGGTACACAGCTCCAACTCACTCTTTCGTAGCTTAGCATGTTGTGCAAGGGCCTTTCAAAGCAACCCCAAGAATGGGTTTTGACGACATCACCAGATGGCCAAGCGTTCTGACATTTAATAATCCACCAAGACTGGGGACTGGAAGTATATTTTCTTCTTCTTCTAGCCCTCCCACACATTGTATCTTGCTTTGTCTACTTGACCCTGCAGAGATTGCTTCTGTCTTTCCCCTTCCTGCCTTTTTGCAGGGCCAGTGCACAGACTTCTCCTTTCTTTTGAAGAATCCTTATCTTCACTGCATTCCTGATGAGAATCCAGCCTCCTTTTTTCACTGAATTCTTCAAAGCCTTCAAATATCCCTCTAAATGGACCCTCAGAGATCTGTTTCAGCTCAGCTCAAGATCCTGTGTATTCATTTTTGCCTACAGTGAAGAAAGGACTCTATTCAAAGAAGGATCTTGTATTTTCATTTTGCCCTCGATTATTTCTTTTGGAAAAATTAAAGAGCAGCTGGAAAATCTCTATTGCAACTCTAATATTATTTTCTCTACCACATATTTGTTTTAATGCTGTACACAGAAACAAAATGGAATTCCTCTGGAAGCAAAAGCACCGCAGCTTCTTTAAGGCCATCACTATTTTGGCAGTAGCTATTTTTACCAGCAGAAAGAAGCCTAGGGTTAAGAATTAAGCTTTAGAAGCCTGACTGATCAGAGCTCCAGTCACCTCAGTGCTTCCTATCATAATCTTCCCTTTCTTTTTCTTCTGGGAACTTTTATTTGGGCTGAAACCCAACATAAATAAAACTGGCCAGAGTTATTGTTAGTCCTTTAACTTCTACTGTTGTAGCAGCTATGCATGTTGAAAACACATATTAAGTTCTGAATTAGACCTAGGCTCCCTTCCTTTCTGAGCCCTTCTACTATTTTAGAAGTTTGAGGTTGTATTGCTCTAAATCCTATCTGCATTCACCTGAGCATATTGTTGACCACCTAATGGAAAATAATTCTAGTGCTTTGTAAAGAATATTTTAGCTAGAAGATGCTCAATGTCAGCTATTTGAGAATAGAGCCTGTTTCAATTCTCTTTTACTCTCTGAAAGGCACTGTGAACACTTGTAGACAATATCTCCTTTTCCAGGAAACAGTCTTGTTGCATCACTGCTATTAACCCCTTGTTTTCTGCAGAGTTTGGCTGATTTTGTCTCAGGAGAAGTGGCAGAAGAGCAATAATATTCCTCTCTGAGCAGGACTCAAGCACAGTTCTGCAAATCAGACCAGACCAGCACATGTGGAGTCTCAGCAGACTTCGATCAGTAGTGCAGAAAGGAGTAACTCCAGGTTAGGTCAGAAAGTGAAACACCAGTTATGGGTAACTGCTAAGGAGATAAATAACAAGGAAATAAACCTATCCTAGCAGCTGCTGTTTTCTGTTGATGCAAATCCTTCAGACTTCCAAGAAACAGGAGTGGCCATTGTTTTTGTTTGCTATTTGGAATGAGTTGTCTTCATTCCTTGAAGAAATGAAACATTCTGGTTTGAATAACAATATAATATGTTTTCTTATGAAGGTGCCCTTTCCCAGAATCCACAGGGAAATAGTTGGTGCATATACATTTGTTGGCACGTCTCTGAATCTACTTCTTACTCTCCAGATTTCGGAGAATGACCTGGTTCATACTTATCATTGATCTATGAGGGGAGCAATTCTTTGCCAGAAAAAGCCACTGTGAAATATCCACACTCTGATAAACTACAGTTCTGAGCAAGTCATTTCTCACCTAGTTGCTGATTTTTCCTTTCCTCTGAAAATAAGTTATTAGTCAAGGACAAGCAAGTGCTAACAGCTGAAGATATTTGCTTTACTCTCAGAGATGGGAGTGCACAGCCAGAGGTATCTCTGCTTTCAGACTGTTCTTCAGGTCAGAATGACCTTTCCCATCATTGCCCTGATGAAGGGGAAGCGTTGCTGCTCGACACAGATCTTGCCCATAGGACCCATCCATGAAATGAAAACTGTAAGAATAAAGGATCCAAAGGCTTCAGCTTCGTAATTTTCACAGATCTTACAAAATATGCAGTAGATTTTTAAGATTAACGGATCGGTTTTCCTGCTTGGGCCAAGCTGTGGAAGTAAAAACAAGAATGGTCACAGAGTTGATGTAGTTCTAATGGGCAAAGCAAAGGGAAAGGAAATGGAGTCTTGCTCTGTGCTTAGGAGTAGTTATAAAACTGCAAAGAACTTTGATTGTTGTGCAGAGTGATTTTTTTTTTTTCTTCTTTAAATTTCAAATACTATTTGAGTTTGAAACTAACAGATTTTTGGCGTATCAGCTTCCCCTGTGAGTATATCACATTCTCAGCCCTTGGTAGAAAGATCCATCCTGGAAAGGATTAAGCAGGTTGAGAGGTGTGTCACTGCTCTTATTCCTTCAATATACTCACTGTCCAGGGAAATTATGGAGAAACACAACCTCCCTATTCATTGATCCAACAGAAGAAACATCCCAGCCAGTTGTGAAAGACTGATACAGACATAACATGTGGCTTTGTCTTTTCTCTTGGACCCATTCAGTGTGTGACCATGTCATGAGCTGCTTCTTTGAAGCAGCTTTCAGCAACCACACAGAAACTGAGACCAGGGAGACAATGCTTGTGCCTGAGCAAAGCCAAAGTCACTCCTGACAGTGCAACAGCACACAGTGAATGGAAGAATTACCAGTGTGAAGCATTTTCACAGAGGTGGATGGATCCTTCTCTATAGCCCTCAGCATAATGCTGGTCTGTAAAATGGGGATGGAATGAGGGGTAACAGAAGTCTAGGGAAAGCACCACATCTAAAGCAGTCCTGCAAGGGTCACAGGAGACATAGCAATCTTTCCTCCAGGGTTGCAAATCACAATCATGTCAGCTAGGCTAGGGGTTGGACTCGATGATCTCTGGAGGTCCCTTCCAACCCCTACAATTCTGTGATTCTGTGATTCTGTGACATGACACTATAAACAGAACTAGTTTATCCAAAGAGCAAACCTCTCTTCTAAAATGCTATTCAGAGAGGTATGAAGATGCCAGTTTAGGAGGCAATTATTAACCTTGGCAGCTGCTTCACCCACTCTCAGCAGTGAGGAATATGAAACCTGATAGATACAAGGTTCTGTAATGCTTTAGGGACATTTCTGTTTTAGTTTACGTTTCTGATTTATATAATAATAACAAGAACACTACGAAAGAACTGCTCTGCCATTCTGTCTTTATAGGTCAGAAGTTTAAGGTTTTAGTATTGCCATCATTTTTTTAAACAATAAAATAGTCAGGCTGCACATTGTATATATATCCCACTAGCTGGCATTCTGCAGTAGCCTCATTTGTATTCTGTCTTTTCCTTAGCAAAAAAAACCTAAACCACTACTCTGCATTGCCACAACTAAGTAGTTCCCCACTGTGATACAGACATTGCCAAACATCTCACTAAATTCAGCATATCCCTGTTAACACATTTTATTCATACTGATGGTCTGCATCACAGTGTGTTCCCGAAGCCTTGCTTTAAAATTTAAGCTCCAGACCTTTAACAAAAAAATATAAAGCAAAATAAAGTGAGTATCTTTTCCTATGCAGCTGTGCAGTGGAACTGTATCTCCTTCAAGGATGATCTATCACAGATTTTAGGCTTTTTTTTTTTTTCTTTCTCCTTCCTCCTCACCCCCCCAAATCCCATGAATGGCTTAAGTGTCTCCCCGTACAAAAGGAGAAACATCTTGATTTCTTGAAGTATTATTGCCTATAAGGCCCTTTTTAATTTCCATACATTCCTTGAGGATTGGGAGCGGGCAGATCTATTGGGGATTAAGTCTCACTGGTCCTCTAGGTTCTTCACAAACATGCCAGTAGCCATCATGCTCCAATCTTGTGAAGTCCAGCTAAGCACATGAAGTAACTTCAAGTAAAGGACTGTAGGGAATTCAATGACTTTCTGGGCCAGAATCATTTACTGTAAAGCTCTCCTTTGCTGTCAATCAGGTAAAGTTTTCACCTGTGAGCCTAAGCAGAACATACAAGAGGATCCCTCAGCTAAATAAAGGCTTTACCATTTGGTTCTGAGACATAAGAGCTACAGCACTCTGAAACACGTTGGATTCTCTGGGGATTGGAGAAGGGGAAGAATTAACCTCACCTAATTTTAGTCCTTTCAAAGTAGAGGTGGTTAGGCTGAATTAGACCCATCCCAGAACCCACAGTAGGCATACTAGGAGGTGGCTCACAGCCTCTTAGACTCATTTCAAGATAAGAGCATTCACAATCTTGAGCTCCCTCTATCATGTCAGATAGAAGCAGTTGAAGTTCACAGTGGGCACCTCTGGGTTTCAGATATTCAAACTGAGTGAGATGTATCACTTCTTTTGTAGACTGAGCAAAATATCTGGAGAAATGGGAAAAAAATGTCAGGGATATGTGTTGGGAGCAGCAGGACAGGAAAGATTCTTCACCTTACATTGTGTGAGACATTTTCTGCAACACTTAACTTTCCTCTCCTCTGAATCTTCCTGGGAACCACTTTTTCAGCTTTACTGACATCACTCTTACTCCACCCTTTGACACTACACACACTCCCTACAGTTATTAGATTGAACCCTACTTCCTGAGTAACAGTACAGTCGGTGGGCTATAAGAATGGGCTGCTCCACAAGGGACAGTGAGCAGGGGCAACAGCAAGGCAAGCAATGCAGGGACCTCCCTGACCCATGGCATAGCCCCACAGCACCCAAACAATGTGATCAGGGCAGGTCCAGTGCCAGTAACCATCATAAACCACAGTACAGGGATTTCCAGGCAAGTCCAGAGTAGTGACGAAGGTGTGAGATCAAGCTAGGAGCTCAGGCCACTGTAGTCAAGAAATAATGTCAACCCTTGGCTGGTTAAGCACTTCTTACACAGACTTGGATTCAGCCAGTAACAGGACCTATCTTTAAACATTCAGCTTTTTAATTACCAGGATACTTTATTCTAATATCTTTCTTTCCCACTCTTGTTTTTCTTTAATGCTATGTCAACTAACAATCTCCCCATAGAGGAGAAGCAGAGAGAGAACTATGAAAATGAATTATAATATGAGATGATACATTCAATGTCCTGCAAGCAAGCGGAAAAGATACGATCACTGCTGGATTCTCATTCTTCCACTAGAGCTTCACCAGGCAGCACCAGCTCCATAGCTCAGGCAGCTCAGCCACGACTATAATTCAGTGTAAGTAAAAAATGTTATTTCAGCAGGAACAGCTGAAATAGCAGAGGGCTTCTTGTCACCATCTCTGGACAAGCCCAGGAGAGAGAAATGGCTTGTTTTATGCTGTCTCTCATTATTCCTGGCACTTTATGACTCATTATGTGTCCTAGTTTTGTGCCTAACTCCTGCTGAGCTCAACACTTGATATACATTTATGGGTGGCCTGTTGGCTGTAATAACAACTGAACTATTCATAATTCCCCTAATCAAGTTAACTCCTTCCTTTGTGTGCCAGGTTTCCTTTAAACAACAGTCAGATAAAGATACTAGGGAACTTGGTTCTAAACATAGAATGAATTGCACATAGAATGAATTACCTTTATCTCGACAATTAATTAAAAATGCTTTTTACAAGAAAGGAAGTAAGGAAGACCTGGGCAAGAACAGGCCAGCGAGCCTCATCTCTGTGCTTGGGAAGATCATGGAACAGATCTTCCTGGAAGATATGTTAGTGCACATGAGGGATGAGTGGGTGACCTGAGACAGCCAGCATGGCTTCACCAAGGAAAGCTTGTTCCTGACCAACCTGGTGGCACTTATGATGGAGTGATGGCATCAGTGGACAAACGGAAAGCAACTGATGTAATTTAGGTGGACATCTGTAAGGCCTTTGACATGATCCCCCACCAAATTCTTATCTCTAAATTGAAGAGACATGGACTATTCTTGTGGATAAGAAATTGGTTGGAAGGCTGCAGTCAGTGGGTTGTGGTCAATGGTTCTATGGCCAGGTGGAGGCCAGTAACAAGCAGCGTCCCCCAAGGGTCTTTCTTGGGACCGGTGCTCTTTAACATCAATGACATTGGTGATAGAATCAAGTGCACCCTCAGCAGGTTTGCTGATGACACCAAACTGAGTGGTGAGGTTGATAAAACAGAAGGAAAGGATGCCATTCAGAGTGATCTTGGTAAACTCAAAAGGTGGGCCCCTATGAACTTAATGAAATTAAACAAAGCAAAGTGCAAGCTTTTGTGCTTGGGTCAAGGTAATCCCAGATATGTATACAAACTGGGAGAAGAACTCCTTGAGAGTCATTCTGCTGAGAAGGACTTAAGGGTCCTAGCTGATGAAAAACTTAACATGAGCCAGCAGTATGTGCTTGCAGCTTGGAAGGCCAATGATATCCTGAGTTCCATTAAAAGAGGGGGGGCAGCAGGGCAAGGCAGGTGATTGTTCCATTCTGCTCTGCCCTCATGAGGCACCATCTGGAGTACTGCATCCAAGTCTGGGGCCTCCAGCATAAGAAATATGTAGAGCTTTTGGAGAGGGTCCAGAAGAGGACCATGAAGATGATCAAAGGTCTGGAGCACCTCTCCTTTGAAGGAACTGAGGAACTGAAGGAACTGGGCTTATCCAGCCTAGAAAAGAGAAGGCTGCAGGGAGACCTCATCGTGGCCTTCCAATATTCAAAGGGACTTTATAAACAAGAGGGAAATCAACTTTTTACAAGGGTGGATAGTGATAAGACAAGGGGGAATGGTTTTAAACTCAAGGAAAGGAGATTTATATTAGATGTCAGGGGCAAGTTTTTTACTGAGAGAGTGGTGAGGTGCTGGAACAGGCTGCCCAGAGAGGTTGTGGATACTCCATGCCTAGAGGTGATTAAGGCCAGGTTGAATGGGCCCCTAGACAATCTGATGTAGCAGTTGATCTAGCAGCTGGCAACCCTGCCTGTGGCAGGAAGTTTGGGACTTGATGATCCTTGAAGTCCTTTCTAACCCAAGACATTCTATAATTTTATGCTTCTAAGCTAGCTATATATTGCAATTAGACACACTTGTTCTGAGCCTAAATAAACCATGCTTTGTCCCAATACATTTTATTTCATTCCCCTTCTGAATCAAGCACTCTTTTAAAGTCCATGTAGATGGATGACTAATATTGATTCCACTCAGAAGGCTGGCAGCAGACACGTAAGTATTATATATGGGAATTGGTACCAAATGACTCTTCCTGTCTATTACAGGTAGGAATTCAGAGTAAGGAACCACTGTTTGTGAATGTTCTTGTGGTATTAATAATCTTGTCAGTTTCTGCCCCCTTTTTCAGCTTGCATTCTCTGCAGAAGGTCAAAGACAATGCAAAACAGAGCCCAGCAGCATGCTGATCCAATCTGGTAACCAATGCAAACAGGCAAACCACAAGCAATCCACAGAAACTTGACAAACACAAGTATTTTTTGAGATTACCACACATTTAACTTGTCTCTTCTAAAAGCATCATGCACAATTATCTCAAATGTAGGTAGACATAACTGCACCTTGGCTTAATTTTCCTTTCATTCATTTGAAACAGAGCCGCTTAGCTTGGCCACTCTGAAAAATGGCAACTTTTGTGTTATCAGTTGAACAAAACTAGTCTATTTTGGAACATAGCTGATAAGTCACCACCAGACTCACAGGTCTAAAATGAAGATTATCTTGTGTTACTTTAAAACTAAACTTGAGCCAGAGTCTGCCACAGAAGTGTGCCAAATTTCAGATCTCTGATTGGGAAAGCTATGTGCAGAACTAAAGATGCAAGAAAGTTCCTACCATATACTGTGTTTTGCATTTGTGGCTAAAACAATGCTGATAGCACACCTGTGTTTTGGCTACTGCTAAGTAGTACTTGCACGGATTGAAGCTTTCTCTTTAACATCTTTCCACTCCCCCCAAAGGCCAGTAAGCTGGAGCTGGGCAAGAAATTGGGAAAGGACAGCCAAGACAGCTGACTCCAAGTAACCAAAGGTCCCATGCAAGGGATATGGTATCATGCTCATCAGTAAAAGCTGAGGGACATGGGGAGGAAAGGTGACACCTGTGATTGCAGTTCTCTCAAGCAACTACTATGTACACTGAGGCCTTGCTTCTCAGGATGTGACTGGACATCTGCCTGATGATGAGGTAGTAAGTGATTCCTCTTTTTGTTTTGCTTCTGTGCAAAGCTTTTGCTGTTTTTATTAAAACGTGCCTATTTCAACCTGTGAGCATTTCTGTCTTATTTTCTCCCCCTGTTCTGTGGAGGAGAAGGAGAGAGAGGTCAGTAGAATGAGTATCTCACAGCCAGTCAGGTTCAGCCCACCACAGAGTTCTGGATAAAGATTAATTTTCTGACCGCTTTTCTCCATTTCTATTGCTGCTCACAAAGAAAACAGATGATGTACATTTCAAAGGCACTTGCATGTAAGAACTGTCAACTTGATTCCATATTGTCAACCTCAAACATTCAATAACCAGCAGTCCTGATTAAAAAAAAAAAACAAAACAAAACAAAAAAACAAACACTTGGGGTCTTACTTTTTAAGTCTTGAAGTTTGAGCCCACAAGGATGTGGTTTTGTGATCAGCATATTATCCTTCCAGCCTGTGTTGCCCTCATGAGAGCAGCCCCATGCTCACCGGTGTCTATTTTTACATTGACTTTGGTCAACAATAGCTTCTGTACAATGAAGAGGAGAGTCAAATGAGCTTCCTGATCTGATTGGGAAAAATAAGTACAGTTTGTTCATTCTTGCAAAATATTTTGTTTCAAAGTTGTTTTGCACTGTGTTTTGACTCTGCCATAAAGCGTCCAAGAATGAGTGGATGATGCAGGAAGCCTGCACAGGAGTCCAGTCTGCCACCACAGCATTTCTCACTATGTGCAGCAGTTCTATCAGCAGGAAAAAAAAACCACAATCAATGATTTCTGTCAAGGACTTTAATTGTGGTAGGTTTGGGTTTTTTTTCCTTGCATTGTTTTATGCAATTTTTAAACCCTTTTTCTTGGTATCTGGAGCTTTTGCTGAAGTTAGAGACGTATTAAACAGAGAAAATGCAAAGATCATCTCTGGAGGAGTGAGAGCAACAAAGTGCAGTGCACAGGCTTAAGTTTAAAGGCTGAGCAGATTGGGGGTGCTGAGCCTGGAGAAAAGACAGCTCTGCAGAAACCTCATTCTGGCCTTCCAGTACTTCAAGGGAGCTGATAAACAGGAGGGAGAGTGACTTTTGATATGGGTACACAGTGATAGGACAAGGGGGAATGGTTTTCATCCAGAAGAGGGGAAATTTAGGTTAGGTGTTCAGAGGAAATTCATTACTCAGAGGATGGTGAGGCCCTGGCACTGCTGCCCAGACAGCCAGAGAGACCAAGGCTATGAGCACCTGGTTTATGGGATGTGCCTCTGACCATGGAGGGGCTGGGGCTGGGGAGGCTTTAAAGACCCTTTCAGCCCAAATCAGTTTGGAATTCTATAATTAACACTGCCCTGGTTCCACTTAATATCTGGCTGTCTGTGGGACAAATTTGGGGCAATTTTGCCATGTTTGAATAAATTGTGCCATTTTGTTGCCAAGTGCTGGTAGTTGGATTCCACATGGTTGCAGGACACAAAGACCATGGGATGCTGTAATCCCATACCAGCAGCGCTGGCGGAGTTGCTTACACCAGCACTGGGGTGGCACATTGGTTTTTGGGAGAGGTGAAGAGCACTTCAGATAGAAAGAGCTGTCTTAAGTCATTGGTTTCGTTTGAAATGTAAGTAACGTCCTAGTGCTTTTTAAGAATAAATTGTAAGTTCCATGCTAAAGCAAGGAAGAACTTCACTGACAGAGTGACATAGCATTGGAAAGGTCGCCCAGAAAGCTGGTGGAATCTCCTTCTCTGGAAATATTCAAGACCTGCCTGGATGCCTTCCTGTGCAACCTGCTGTAGGAAACCTGCTTTAGCAGGAGGTCAGACTCGATCTCTAGAGGTTTCTTCTAACCCCAACAATTCTGTGATTCTGTAATATACATCTCTGGAAGCAACTTAGTTATTTTATTATCCCATAAAACAAACGACATTGCTCAGAAAAGACTCTAGGGAATTAGATCCTTTGAGAAAGAGGATGAGTTAGTACTGAAGATGAAATGCAAATGTTTTTTTAGCATAGTATCTGGTTGTTTGATTTTCGAATACAATAGATTACACTGGTAATGGAAATGTAGCTTTGCACCTTCTGTTTTTCTCCCAGTAGACTTAATCTCAGCACTGTTTGCATGCCAAGCATGCACGCTTGCAGCTGGGAGCTCTGGAGAGAGGGAGAAGGCACAGCTTGGATCTGTGCTGATAAGATCACACAGGGTCTGCAACAAGGCTGGGAACCGGCCCCACTGCCTTTGCCAAGTGACTTCACCACAAGACCATCTTTGCTTCTGCCTGCAGGAACTGTCCCACACCATTACAGATAGATCTCAGAAGCCAAGAGACTGGGGGAAAAGCATGTGGTTGTTCTGGAGTCCTTTGGGAGATCTGCAGGAACAGGAGTCTTCTGTTTCACTCCTGTGTTCCAGAAAAGAGGTAAAAAACACACAGTTTTGCCTACAGAGCAGTTTTCACTTCCAGTATGCCAATTGTCTTTCCTAGCTGTCACCTGCACTCCACAGCTGCCAGAGTTCCCTCTGTTTCAAGGCTGCATGTGTCAGTCACTCAAAAATAACACAGAGCAGTGAGGAACAGCTTTTAAATTACAGTGAAAGAAGCAGGCCATGCACGGACAGGAAAAACACAAGCCTCTAATTGCTTGGGAGCCCTTGGAGATGAAAGTACCACAGGAATGCCACATGGCAGTGCTGCTAGCATTCGTGCTGTGCTTCTAACTGAAGTAGCTTTCCATATGTACCAGTTGTGGAGAGAGACAATAATGAAGCAGGAGAAAATCACACAGCTCATTAAATCTGATGGCCTGCTATGTAGCAACATGGGGAAGTACATGGAGTAAGCTTCCTCATACAGTGGAAATCACTGTCCAAAGCTGTCCATTCCCCACTAGCTGCACTGAAAGCCCCAGGAAAAATGCATTGGGGGAACAAGGAAGGTCCTTTGGAGCTGACTGCAAGTAAAGCAGCTGATTGGCATTTGTAGCAGTGTCTTTGTGAAGAAAACCAGGGTGGACAAGCCAGAACAACATTGTGTTTCTGAGATGACTGTAGGATTGTACTGGAGAGAGGGAGAGGTGCCTCCTGCGGCGCTGGTATGTGCAAGGTACACAAACTGAGGGAATATCCAGCTCACATTTCCTCCTGCTGGAAGTAAGGCATCGAGTTCCAGCTGCCAATAGGCTGCCCAGACCAAAAGCTCACCTATTTTCCAAGCACTTAGGTAAAAACAGAGAAATCGTAAGTCGCAAGTAAAGCTTCTGCTCTATTATTGTACCAAAGCACTGCATCTTAAATAAAGCCGGTGATACTACTTTGTGTGCGCTTCGGGGCAAGCTGCAATCCCTTATCTAACAGCACACGAGCCTGCAGACAGCCCAGGATAAATGAGATCATTACCATACACAGACAGCCATCACCCTGCTTGCTTCCAGCAACGGATCGACTTCCTTTTGCTGGGAGACCCTATCTTCACAACCAGCACTCTGAGCCCTCCGGAGCTTCCCCAGGAGGGAAGGATTGGACGCTCCGGCTTCCTGCGGCGCCCTCACCGCTGCGCAGCCGTGAGGCACCCAAGGGCTCCAGGGCGCGCGCTGCCCTCGGCGCCCCGCGGCCCCGCCCGCCGCCATGTCGCGCCTGCGCGCTACCCGCCCGGGGCGGGCTGTGCAAGATGGCGTCGAAGCCGACTCGTACGGCGGTTGAGGAGTACCGGCCTAACCGCTTCGTTTCGTTGCCGGCTGAGCTCGACCCTGCCACTTATGACACGTCGCCGGAGAAGCGCCGTGCCGAGGCCGAGCGCTTGGCCATCCGCGCCCGGCTCAAGCGGCAGTACCTGCTGCAGCTGAACAACCCGAAGCCGCCCGCCGTCATCGTGAGTGGGGCGGGGGCGCGGGCTCGGGCGCGGTCTGGGGGCGCCGGGCTGGTCGGAGGGACGGGGGAGGCCCGCGGCAGAGCCTGAGCCCGTCCCGGGCCCTTGCAGGCGGGGCCGTGCCGTCCTCTGCCTGTGACCTTGGTGTGTGCCTCTCCTGGCCTGCGCTGCTGGGTCCATATAGCGTGTTGCGGCCTGGGGCGCCCTTGCAGTGCTTCTGGGCCGTGTTTTGGGGCTCACAGTTTTCTTGCTATCTCAGGAAGATCCTGCCTTGCTACGCTGGGACTATGCCAGGACGCACAACATCTACCCCACTTTCCGCCCGACGCCCAAGACGTCCTTCCTAGGAGCTGTATTTGCGATAGGCCCTATCCTCTTCTGGATAGCTGTCTTTAAAACTGAGAGGGTGAGTTCTGCTGGTTGCGTTGAGCATCAGGGAACACCAGGCTGTAAAACACAGATCTGCCTAAAGACTTAATTCCACCTGCATCTAAGCTTAATACTAGTGAAGTATTAAGGGACAGAAGGCTAGTTAGTGCCAAACCTTCTATCTCAAAGTCTCATAGCTGAGTTGCAAAGTTGCAAACAGCTGAGTTGCACTGTGCTGAGGCCTGTGTTGCATCCGCAGATACAGCCAGTCACAGTTTCTCTGATACGACATTTTGCTTGTATATGGAAACCGTAATAAAGGTTTCCATGGTTCCACTGACTCTAAATTAATTATAAGCTGATGACAGTGTCTGATCTCATCTGGGTTTTTGAGCTTTTGGAAGCTTTTGTAACTTGCTTCTGTTGTAAATCCTGGAATGAGGATGTCAGAATCTAAGCAGCAGCAGATTTTTCTGAAAGTAATCAACTATATTCATTAGAATTATAGAATTGCTCAGATTGGAAGAGACCTTAAAGATCACCAAGTCAACCACAACCTAACCATACTACCCTAACTCTGACAACCCACCATTAAATCATGTCCCTGAGTACCACATCCAAATGGTTTTTGAACACATTCAAGGATGGTGTGCACCTCCCTGGGGAGCCTATTCCAGTGCCTAACTACCTTGTAAAGAAGTTTTTACTGTACTTTGGAGTATGCTAGGTGACTGCCAGTCAGTGGCTGGTTTTATTTCCCTCTTCTTTCAGAAAAATAGCAAATTTAGATCCAGTAATAAACCAGGAAACACAAAGGTCAGTATTATTTGGAATAATATTTTCTAGTATGAATCTAAAGTAACGAGTGCTAACAAGCTTACAAGCATGTTGACACAAATATTGTTGGAACTTCAATATTTCCACAGTTCATTGTCACTCTGGATTTGCTTCATATGCTAAACCATGCTTGGGCTTCGCCACAAAGCGTGGATCAGCATGTGAGCACTTGAAGATAAACCTGAATGAGTTACATCCCTGACATACATGACTGAGAATACTGAATCTGAAGTGTTTGATACTATCTCCAGAACAGTGTTTTCTGATTCCTTTACTGGTGTTTAGGGATATTTCCAGTGGTTTATAAAGCACAGTAGTTGTTACGTTTTTTTCTGAGTAGTGATTGTTGTGTGTCTGGGAAGCTGAAGAGGGACTTCTCAGTCTTAAGCAATTCTGTATTTATCCAGGCAGAAAGAGTCAGGGCAGTTTCTGTGTGCGGTAATGTGTCTGAAATGGTGGATGACTGCAGTGTGAGATACAAATGGGCTGAAAGTGAGCACATTTAGTGAACATTTAGGCAAGTTACTAAGGAGTTTCACCATACTTAGGTCTTTAAACTAGGTATGGTAATATCTTCCTATACTCATTGCTGAAATATTAGAGTTGTTTTGCTCTAATCCCTGGCTGATTGAAACTTCCTCTCCATTAGAGTAATGATGAATGTTCTCTTTTCCACAGGATTATAAAGAGAAGCTTATCCGAGAAGGTAAATACGAGCGACCATTCAGTGTTTTTTAAGTTGCTGGAATCACAGTGCTGCTCTTGAGACAGAAGTAAATAAGATGTACTGTATGCTGATGTTTCTCCTTGAGAAGAATAAATCTTAATTACTCCTCAGTCGTCTTCCATCTTTAATAATTATGGAAAGTGCAACTGTGCAGAATCTTTATATCTATTGCAAATAGATACAGAGAGCATGTCCTGAGCTTACCAGTTAACTCTTTCGTTATAAAGATTTCTTTTAAAATGTGGAAACTGCTGCTGGCAGAGCAGTTCAGGCTGAAGGTTAAAATTAATAACAGGTTAAAATATGAAGCAATCCCTGTACAGTTTCCTAAAAATCAATTGCTCATTTACTAGGTACTTCTTCTGTTGTTTTGACAATGTAATTTGCCCAAATCAGGTAAAAGATAAACTCCTTTTATATATTCTAGTTAACTATTTAGGAGCCTGCCTGCCTGTTCTCAATAAGTTGATTTTTCCTTCCCTGAAAAAAACATAATCCTACACCCTATATTTGAAATACAATTACTGTACTGGTTTTGGAAATAGTGAACTGCACATTGTCAGTTTTTATGTGACTAAGCATTTCCACAAATTTTGTGATTCCTGTATGCAGAGGATCAAGAGCTAAAAAGATGAGGTGCTTCTTTTTGGCAGTGGTTTCTTTGCAGTATAAGAGAATTCAATTTCTCCCCTGGAAACAAGCTATGATATTTATAATAAACATTTAAAAAGCATAACTCGTAACTGAACCTTGTGTCTGCAGAAGTATCTCCTCTGCTCATTCTCTGCCAGGGTCAGTGATGGAGGGTGGCTACAGAATAGTCACCACAAAGTAGTGAAATGTGAGTGTGAGGAAAAGATCTTAACTCAGACTTGAATTCTCAGATGGCCTCTAGGTGCCATCACAGTCCAAACAACCCTCATTCTTCAAACAGTGTAAAGGAGCTTTTTTCCTGAATGTTGAGGTCAGTGTCAAAAATGCAGCCTTAAACATGAGTTACAAATCCTCCTGCTGTGATTGCAGCCTACGTTACTGACTGCAAAGCAGGTCAGTTCTGGTAGGCGTTCTGTCTTGCATGATTAGGATGTTGGAGCAGGCCATTTGGAGTCTCCCTTCATCTGAGCAAACTGATGAGCCTCTTCACAGAATCACAGAACAGCTGGTTTTGGAAGGGACTGCTGGAGGTCATCTTGTCCTCCTGGCTCGAGCAGGGTCAGAACTGTCCAAAAGGCTAACATCTCTGAAGCAGGTGTCCTCTGTGGGCAAACTGTTCCAGTGCTGTCACAGTAGATGTGTGTTGCTGATATTTAAAATAAGCAAACAAAAAAGTTTTTAAAGAAGTGTTTCCTGTTCTAACTCATCACTTTCTTGCCTGGGTCTTGAAACGTTCAGGCCGGCTGGAGGCTTGGCACTAGTAGCGTGTAGCAGCTACTCTGGACTTTGGCCTGCTTTTGCAATCCCATATGTGCTCCCAGCAAGCACCTGTTTGCAACTTGCTCTTCTACTGCCTTAGCTAAAGCACACCTCAATTATTTTCTTTGCAGAACTGCTTCTAAAAGGTTACTGCAAATGATGCTACAAAATAGAGCTGTGGGTCATTGCAAAGAGAGGAGGCATCAAGGCATGGAGGATGTGATATGTAGGGAAAGAAATAATTACTTGTCTGAGCATGCTAAATTAACTATCTTCCTGCTACCATAAGCTAATTTGATTTCCCAGGACTCATTTCCTCAGCTAATTGGAACTTCAGTTGCCACATGTGTAAATTTTGCCTTGCAGCTGTATTGTTTTAGGCCAGTTGAACAAATTGTTCAGGATGGGTTGTGGATGGGAGCAGCATCTCTGGTCTTCTAGGCCAGCCTTTGGCTGGCTTGCTGCACCTTCAGGAGTGTCTGCTATGTCTCCATGGGTTTGAGTATGGTGATTTGAGGAAGGCTGCCCTGCTTTTCTCTTGTGCTACTTCCAGATCTCCCCAGGCTGGTGGTTTTTTTTTTTTTTTTTTGTGAGGAACAAGCATTTGTTGCTGGGGGTGAGGTTGGTTGTTTGAGGCTGTGGTGCTGGGTGAACACGGGAAGAAGAGGGGTGTTCCCTTCAGAAACGAAGGGAGAAGACAGAAGGGTAAGTGTGCCTGATGGAATTTTACCCTTGACTGATGTGTAACCACTCATTTCTGCATCAGTGATAATTCTGTAGCAAGAGAAACCCAAGCCTGCAGATAATTGGATCATAATTTATGTCCCAAACAGAAAACAAGCTTTTCCTCTCAGGCTGTGAAACATTTAGACCTCATTTATTCCTGGATCAGTCTGATTAAGTCAATTTTTCTGACAAATGGAGCCTCCTGATCGTCATCTTCTGAGTTGGCTATTTTAAAGTAAACATCTCCCTGAAGATTATATAACGTAGTGCTTTGCTCCTAGCTGATGTTTTTTTTCCCTGAAGGATCTGGTGTAGATCCAAGTCTGATGTTGTACATAACTGACTGAAGTGAGGTGTTCCAGCTCTGTGTTTCCTTCTCTTTTGGGAAATGGAAGATTGATTCTTTGGGGAAGTAGGAAGCACAGATCCTCCTGGTACCAAACTTAGTAACAGTTTCACATCCTAGACTGAAACACGTACCCAATCTTCAGTTTCCATGGGCGCAGTAGGATAAATCAGTTCCCTGAGAAAATGAAATGAGCATGATTTTCAGCAAATTAGTTCAGGATCTGAGAGGCAAAGTGCTCGGCAGCAAAATTTAGCACTACCTGTCTGACTAAATTTGACATTTTGAAATGTTTTGATACTACAACAAAGAGTGCATGTGCTAAAGCAGAGGCCTGAAGGTTGGTAATGCATCTCATTCCCAGAATATTTGGGGTTTCCTTTTCTGCCCGCACCCTGTGGAACAGGAGAGTGGCTCAAAGTTACCACCAAGGGGTGAGGCTTGAGTATTCCTGTGCTTTTTGAGGTTCTTCGTAAAAGAGACATCATCAATTGTTGGCAAAGAAGTCAATGTTGATGGACAACTAAAATAAGATTGAAAAGGAAGCTTTCCCTTAATTAACAGTGAGGCGCTTTGGATTCTCTGACCTTTTCTAATCTGCAGAATGCTTTTCTGACCATAAGGGCTCTTCTTGGCAACCATCCACAGCCCAGCAGGCTGAAATGCCCTGTTCTGGTAGGAGGCTTACATCTGATAGAGTTTTCAGCTCTGTTTGGAAAAGTCTTCCCTTGCAGGTGGCATGAAATGCTTCACTGATCTTCAGCTTTTCCCTGTGAAAGGCACATCAAACCATATAGTCAAGAGCCCTTGGAATGGTGGCTGTCACCTTGCATTTACAGCAAGTACAGCATTCATACCAACTGCATATGATGAGAGGCACTCAAGTATTTCAGCTCCAGAGTGGCACCAGGATAGCTTTAATTGGGTACTTGAAGGCTAAAAATAGTGGTTTTCATTTCATTTCCCAAATTATATAGGCATGGTCATTTTATTAACTTGGTGGCTGCTGGAAGTGCCATTCTGCACTCTTGTTGTCTGAGCTGGCTGTGCTGCCACGTATAGGTCTGCTGGGTTCCCCTGTTTTTGTTCACACACTGCAAGAGACAAATCCATCTCTTTACTTGCAGTTAGGGTTGAAGTGGCTTTTCAGAGGTTCCCAGCACTTGTAGTAGTTTTTATCTAGGCGGTTGGAGGTCTTGAGGCCCCACTCAGTAACAGCCATACTGAGGGAAGATTCAAACATGAAGGCCTGGTGGGAATAGGAAAGGTTAGGTTAGGAGAAGGGAGAGTCTGAATCCAGGCAAGGGGACTCGATTCTAGCACAAACAGGAACTGTACACGCGTCCAGCTCTGCCAAATTCTTCATCTGACCTGATCAGCCCAGGGGGAGAAAACAACTCCCAGCAGAGATAGGCACATCTCTTCAGAGCTGGTGCTACAGTGCTGGTGTTAGCCAGGTCCCAGCAGTGACTTTGGACTCTGCATATCCTGAAAGCCAGGTTGCTCAATAAGCTCTAGCTCTGAGCCTATTGGCGATGATTTAATTTTATTTTAGGGAGTAAGAAAGGAAGACAGTTACGGGTTTGACTTCTTTGTCCATAGCCTAAGACAAAAATTAAGTTAATCAGCATGAAAATTCCCAGCTTCCAGCTCAGGTAACAACTTATGTGGTCAGAAGATCAAAGCTGCCACATCTCATATCCAATCAGCCAGAAGTGTGAATGCTAATTTGGTCCAAGAACTTTTCCACCTTGCTTGTAGGAAGCTAGGCTTTGTGAGTGTCTCAGCAGCAATATGTTGTGCTGCATACAAAACCTTACAGGCTCCTTACCATAGTCCCTTCTGCTACTCTCTCAGGCTCCAACTTGGCTTTGCTCGCCTTCTCAAAACAGTCAGCGTCTGGCCCGTGTGGAGTCATCATGCTGTGCAAGCTGGCCCCTCCAGGCTGGAAGCCCTCCTCCTTTGCTTCATAATGGCCTTTGATGAGCCCCATGAACTCACTCATGCAATTCCCTAAGGACAGCATAGAGAAGAGTTTGTAACACAAAAGCAGCCAAGAGCTTGAAACCAACAGAGCAGTCAGTATGGGGAGTGGAGGTTAATAAACATGGCTGCACAGGAGAAGACATCAGGGATCCTACAGGCAGTGCTTGCAAAGTGGTAAAGGTTCTATCACACTTTCAGTTATCTGGAGTCAGAAAACTCCCTAATATGAAGGTGCATTGATGTGGGTAGATCTGTGTTTTTCCTGCTACACTGAGCTGCATAAGCACTGAAGCTGCACACAGACTGTATCTGGGTAACTTGGTATCTACAGACCAATATTGGAGATATTAGATATTAGAGATCTGAAAGCACTGGAAAGGTAGTTCAGTGTAATCATCCTTGTGTTTCTGAGGCACAACCACCTGGTGAGACAGCCTAGGCTGGAAGCACAAAATTATTGTGTTCTGTGTCCTTCTGCCACTCTAGTCCAGCCAGGGACTTCAGTACCTTATGCTTTTGATGCACACAGGATCTACTTAGTTCTCAAGAGCCACTGTGTGCACAAAGACAAGGAGACAAATTCTGTCCTTCCCTAAGGAAGAATACCTTAGGCAGACCCTCTGAAACTAATGGAGTGATGTACCTTAACTTAGCAACAGATGGCCAGATCCAATAATGCAGTACTTATTAGTTATACTCCCTCTGAAGAAAGTATGTTAACAACTGCCATTGCAGTCTTCCAGCTTTAGTAGATCTGATGTGACTAAGCAATATGGCAGCTTTCTGCTGAGTGGTCAGTTTGCTGCAAAACCAGGACATGCTTCTGCAGCTCTGCTATATATAGCCTTTTTTAACCACTTGTTCTGTCTTTGTTAAGTACAACCTGAGGCCTGAAGTATTTAACAACAAAACTAATTTAGCTCAGAGCACAGTTGGCCTAAAAATGTATGCAAACAATCATTTATTTTCATCCCATGTTGCCAGCATCTCCTGTAAGAATCGATTGTACAGGCTTTTCATTGAACTCACTTAAGTGCTGTGCTTGGAGCAATCAGGGAGCAGTACAGGCTGTGAGAGCTTCATTACCAATGTGCCCTCTACATAACTCGTCATATCACTTGGGGAGAATGGGCTGGTGAGTAGGAAGCCAGGCAGGGACTTATGTGTTGAGCAATTTCTTGTTCAATTGCAGGTTTCCTATGTCACTTCCAACAACTTTGGTGTGCTTCTGCTCCCTGTCTGTAAAATAGCACTATCCTCTCCAAAGACAGTGTTGCGAAGTCAAAAAACCTCAGTGGCTATTAGATATTCTGTCCTACCAAGATAAGAATCATACAAACACTCTCTCAGACACGGATGCAATATATACACCTGGTATAAAAGAGGTATCAGATATATTTCTGCTTCTGGCCCAAAGACTGTAGGAGTAATTCACAACCTCCAGGCATGTAGAAAGTGATGGAGAGAAATTTTTCTTACGAGCCATCTTTGTATTGAAATAGTTGTGGTGTCTAGGGATGTCTGCTAAGGTGGGAAATTTTTGGAATACCATGGCTATATTCCTGCTTGGGGCAAAGTTAAGGCACCAAGAAAACCGTAACTCTGAGTGCACCAAAATTCTCTGAACGCTTCTTTGAACAGACTTTTTAATGCACATGAGAAGAAGAGGCCAAAAGGCATTTCTGGGGAAAGAACTCTTGAACTCTCTACAAGATCTCTTGAAAAATGTTTGGAAGAGAACATTTACTGAATTAGTGTTTCTCTTACCCCCCAGTTTCTTGTCCTGCTATGCCTCTGCAGTGACGTAAAGTTCTCATCACAGCACAAATTTCTGACTAGAAAGTAAGCACAGCATCCTGAGAGCTAGCTGTTGTGATTCCAACTGTTCCCATTCAAGCTTTAGTCCTCTATGTCTGGGCTAGAGTAGATGCATCGTGGTCACCATGGATTCAGTGCTAAACCTATGGCCAAGGCATTGTTGTCAAACAAATACCTGTGGTAGCTGTCTGAGTGGAGTCCGATAGGGTAACTCAGTGTGGGGAGCCAGGTTTCTAGCATCCATTCAATGCAACATGTGGCAGGGACTACCAGAAAGAAACTACCCCTAGGGGTGGTGACAAAATCCCCCAAATACAGCCAGTTCTCAGTCTGAGAAGGAGCCCAGTTCCTCCCTCTGGCTTTTGTAAATGCCAGTGGTACCTCCACCACTGTCCAGGAGTGAAGAGGGGCTCAGGAGAGCCACCCCAACCCTTCACTGCAACTCTGAGCTCACCCTGCTAGTTCATGGGAGCTCTCACAGTGCTTTACTCCATGTGTGTTGTCATATTTTCCATTCTCCCATTCTTTCGTACCCTACTGAGTTGTTCTGTAATTCATGGTTGGATGGCAGGATAGTATCTGACCTGTTCATGCAGTGCAATTTGTGTGCACCCCATCTCAGCGGGAGTCCCTTGGGTACAGGCACAACCACCTATGCCAGCACAACCAGCCCTCACCTCTGAGTTTTCCCGAGATTCTGCAAATAATAACATCTCTGGTTTTGTTCATTTTTCAAGGAGAACTCACTGACTTCAAGAAGCTGTGTGTAACTGTGCCAAGGGCAACAAATGAGACTTTTTCACTGTGTGTGCTTTCAGATAAATGGAGGCTTGTTTTTTCTGTGCCTCTGCACTCAAACAAAACCCACAAAAACCAGACATACTGTGGTAGTAAGGCGGCCGGAAGGTGTTGTTGGCAACCCCCCATCGTGGGGGGAATATGACAAAGTCAGCAATTGCCACTCCAGGACGGGTCGACTTGGCTGTCAAGACAGTGAAGATAGATGGATCCTGAAAAAAAAAAACGACAAAGCAAAAAGCATCAAACAGAGCATGACTCAGGTCACCCCATCGATAAATCTGGATATGAATATGCATAACAGACCTTGGCCTTTCCCTAATTTCTTCAATTTGAGGATCTCAAAATAATTTGCTTTCCTTCCCTTTTCACCCTAATTGGTCACAATTCCTCTTTGTGTAGAGGAGAAAGCTGAGTGTGTGCAAGCATGGTATCCTTAGGATTTGGGATGCAGCACTGTGACTCCAGGAGCTCCTACCACCTCTTTCTTGGCAGTTTTTGAGCACAACATCCTACCAGGGGTATTCACCTCATAGCACCAGTGGCTGACTAACAGGGAGAACAGAGTGCAGATAAATTGTCACTTGCTTCAAGGATTTTTGAAGTTTCCACTCCAGTAGAGCGATTTTCTGGGCTTTGATCCCAAACCTATCTTTCTCCTGGCAGGTTTTTCCAGAAATTAAACAATGCTTTCTGCTGGTTGTCTCACTAGCGGTGCTTCCGTCTCCTTGCGCACCCACTTGCAGAAGCAGCCAGGAGATGGTATGGCTGTGGGCACCTCTCCCACTGGGCTGGTTTCCTTTTTTAGAAGAGCTGCTCACATTGATTTTGGCTTTAGTTATTTTCCATAAGATCTAGAAATTACTGCAATGAGAGCTGCCAGCTCTTGGAATGTGTTTCAGGGGCTCAGATGAGCCATGGGAAGGAGCCTGTACAATTGCAATAAAATCAAAACAAGAATTTTAAGCACACGTCTTTTCTCTGAGTTGCATGGTGCAATACTTGCTTCAGTATTCAGCCCTCTTCCAGAGCACAGGCTTTCTATGCTAAGTTGTTTAGGAAGCTGATCAACCTCCAGTTCTGTCATTGCACCACCATGGAGGCTTTATTTTTTTTTTTTTTGCAAGGGTTTGTTTGAGGCCAAGGAAAACAAAAGTGGCAGACTGTTTCTTATAGCATAATGTATTTTTTAACAGTCACTGGGACCTTGGAGCTCTTGGGTGAATTCTGATGGTACAGCATCCACAAAGCTTTGCTCTGCCTTGCTTGGCTCCAGAACTTACCGCATGGTCAAAAGCGACAGAATTAATGACCATAAAGTTTTCCAGATGGTATTTGAATGGTGTGTAGTTCCCATGCCAGGCAACAACGTTGAAGGGGGAGAAATCCTATCAAAGCAATAGGGACAGAGAGAACGTTACCACACACAACTCTCCACCTTTCGGCATACACACAGGGTGCTGCCCCTTCTCAAGTTAAAATGGTTTTAGTGCTGGTGATAAATGTACTGACAGCCTAGAGCACAAGGCCCTTCAGGCACAGCCTGATGCTGCAAGGACGTGGTTTTCCTCAGCGTTCCCACCTGGAGAGCTGTAGCCCTCCCTTCAGAGCTCCATCTCTGAAGAAGTTCGAGTGCCAAAGCAGTGCTTGAACAAGGTGGACTCCAGCACTGGCTCTCCAGCATTATAAATTTGCATTGGGTTTCCCTATCTGTTAGAAACATGAGTATGTAGAAATAAGGAGGCCAAGACCACCATTGAGTCTTTGGGTTAAGCAAGTTTCCATGGACTGTTTTTGCAAATTGAGGAGACTCAGCTGGGAGATAAAGGAGCCAAGGTGACAGTTCAGTCCTATTCCATTTCACCAGCTCAATGTCCTGAGACAACATGCATGCTAACAAGCTGTAGAGACCACATTATGCACTGGTGGGTGCTCTAGTTGTTTTCCTGTGCCCTCCTTACCTGCTGGGCTGCAAACAGCTTCCCCTGGTACTTGCTGATAACTGTGTAGCCCCCTGGAATTTTCCGGTCCTCATACCATGCTACTGGCACCAAGAAGTCACGTGGGTTCGCCAGGCCATTGGCTCCTGCAAAAGAAAGAAATGTCAAAGCATGCTGGGCAACCTGCTATCAGAGCTCTGTGGGTGCCCTTCTGCACTTGGACTGACCACACTTCTTCTGAGTCCATCATGAAATCTCCAATATTCGTGTTCCTCGTTGGCTCCTATAAGTAGATAATTTTAATATATCCTAGCATTTAGGTCCATGCTCCCTTATGTGACTGAGACAAGTCTCCCTCCCTTCTTTCCTAAACAGCATTCAACCTCCATTAAAGGTGTGTAGGTATTGGAAATTAAGCAAAAAAAAATGGAGGGTGAATTGCTCTCTGTTCCTGGGCATCCTGCTGCTTGGACACTTAGGAATGCAGAAGCATGTCATGAGGGAGCATAATGCTTTTCTGAACAAAAAAGTAATAAAATGAGGGCCAGTGATACTTGTAGACATTGAGCATACTGAGGGGTGGTTAGTGTGAGGAGCGCATTTTCACAATGCAGAGCACCATATGGGTGCTGCAATATTTTTCTTCTCATTAGCATTATTGTTGCAAAGTGTTCTGAATTTCTTGGATAAAAATGCAAGACATTACTACCTGCTGCTAAGGTTTAACACAGTGCTTTTCTCCAGCTGCCATTTTTCAAGTGAAAAGTGAAGTTAGAATAAAATAAGAATGAAATACAAAGAATTTGGTCTCTGAGGGGAAGGCAGGTAGGTGGTAAGAAGAGAGCTCTCATAATTACCATCTCCTGAAAAGGTCTACAGGCAAGGGCACTCGTTTTCTTTTCTGCTGGAAGTAAATGTTATAATAGATTCCTGCCTTCTGGAGACCAAAAACCCCTCCTCTCCAACAGTGTCTGAAAAACTAGCTAATGGGAAAACTTCCCACGAGCAGGCAGGTGTAACAATAGCAATAATCAAGTGGAGCAGCACATAGCACAAGAAACAAGGTGAAGGCAGGCAATCCCAGCTTGCTAAAAGGAAAGCTGATGAAAAACCAGTATAGATTCAGTGTGGGAAAAGCTGCGCAGAGCATGTCGCATGGGACACATGCTGCAGTGGGGCCCAGCCAGGGGCTGCAGGCTGGGTAAGCTCCCACCTGTGGGCTCCACAGCTCCAGCTTCACTACGGCTGTGAGGTGCTTTTGTAGGCCTTCAGTGCTTACACGCTGTGCCAGGCTTGTTACCAGTTTACCTATTCGGCTTACTTCAAGCACAAGCAGTATTTTAGATCTCACTGGGAGCCATAAAACAAGCTCAGCCAAGGGGAAAAAGGAGGCAGATGAGGTCTGTGATATGTGAAAGATGAGGTCTGTGCTGCCTGAAAGCAGCTCTGCTCCAGCAGCCCAGTGCGGAGGCAAGGCTGTGTGGCTGATCTGAGCCTTGTGCTGCTCGTGTTGCTGATCCCTGCTTCTCCAAGGGAAAACCTTCTGACATTTCCTCCCTCCTTCCCTTATACACTTATGGCATGGAAAATAAACACAGAGCATTATTTTTCAAACTACAGGCAATTCAGCAAATCCTCAAAGATTCTTAACCAGAAAGGAAAGTTTCACCCAATTTGTGGTTCGTGACCAAACGTTAATGAGCTTTAATGAGGCACGGTGCCTGTGTGGACAGCAGCAATGTGCTCAGCTTGCACAGTCAAAACACTGGCTTGTACACACACAGAGACATCTTGTTTTCTCTGCTTTTCATCTGGCATTGCCATTGTGGTGAGTCTCTGGCTGTGCATTAGAAAACTGAGTCTGGCTATAGAGATGAAAGTGTTAACATAGGCAGGAAGGTTAGGGTTAGGATTAGGTTTAGGGTTAGTGTTAGGGTTATTGACTCTAAAATGATGCTTCAAGTTTCAAGTTGCCTCTGAAATTCACTTTTCCTTTTACCAGCTAAACTCTCTCCAGCTACTCCATATCTGTAAGAAGGAGCCATCAAAGAGACAGCAGCCTCAGACTTGCAGACCAGAGGAGGAAAAGGAAGATGGAAAAATGAGTGGGAAAGAAACAGTCCCTCCAGCCCCAGGGGAAAGTCATGATGGCTGAACTGTCTCTGCTCCCCAGTGCTCTGCTGGGGAATAACAGTGCCAGGATGGAATCTGCCTTTAGGGAGGAATGTGTGCATGGGAGGATGGATTACATAGGAGATAAGAGATAGTTTAGCAGTTCCTAACTCTTTCCCTTTGGAATGCAGTGTAGGTCTGATAGGAGATGGTTACCAATGGGTCCCAGGTCAGGTAGCTCAAAGTGTGCCCCATACACCTCCAGGACGTAGCCTCTGGTCTCTCCAAACACCTCCACACTAAAACGCATTCCTTGCTGGAAAATAAAGGAAGAAATCAGGATCATCCCTGTACTTGGCTAACAAACCAAAAGCAACTTAATGCAGGACATGCCAGACACGCTGTGGCTTTGGCTGCCTCTAGCAGGCCCTCAGATTGCCCCAGGCCTACACATGGCTGTGTGACCTTCTGTGGCCACGCATCCCAATATGTGAGGTGCTGCTCTTTGAATTGGGTGCTACTGCATTCTCCATCTGCAATGGGTGCCATCTGGGGCTCTGCTCCATGATGGAATTGGCTTCTGCTGGGTTCCCATGGTCCATCTAGCACCACAGAGCTCAGCATAAACCACACAGAGCTCAGGTTTTTGCTGTTTGCTCCAACAACAGGCCCTCCAGCTAACCACAGCTCTTACCTGGATAACACAGATTTCATTGGGCTCCACTAGCATCTTCCCAAACTCAGTTGTGATGAGCAGTTTTCCTTGCTGGGGCACTGTGGAAATAAAATGGAGGTAGAAGAGATGAAGGAGCAAGCTGTCAGTCACTATGTGTGATGTCTTCCTCTCAGTCCCCTTAGAAGGGGACAATTACATTAGCTAGGTAGTAACTTATTCTTCCTGCTTTCTGAGAGTGTAAGTGCTTCACTAATGTCTGCAGTACTTTCTTTGTCTTTTTGGCACCAAATTGCTCACATTTTGACATGGAAATCTGACAGATTTACAAAGCCTGCCCTTTTACCTCAATTACTAAAGGAGGTGGATGTGAATACTATTTTATGAGAGATGTGTTCCCACTGGTGAAGCATTTCTGTCCCATGGCTGAAAAAGATGCAGGTAAATATCAGGCTCTTGGTCTTACGATGCTGTACAGAGTATTTTTCTGCACGCACATTCTTCATGTTGCCAAGTCAGCTCTCATCATGGCAGTCTGCTTTCCTGAGGCTGGCAGAGTGTGGGAGCTAAGCTACTATGCCAAATCATCTTGGACTAAAGCAGTGAAGGCAATTCACTATAAGCTGTTCAGAAATTCTAGAGCTTATGTTTTCCAGAAAACCTCCAGTGTGCCTGCTAGGGATCTGGGAAAGGATCTCTGAGAGCCAGGCTGGGGAAGCTGGGTCGCTGCTCAAAAGCAACAATGAGTTTTGGCATGAGTGTGCTCCCTCTGTGCTGCTGGGTAGTGATGGGACAAGCCTGACAGCCCAGCCTTTGCCAAACCACCACATCTGGATGGCATGTGAGTGAAATCATCCCTCCTCAAGTCTTTGCAGATGGCTGCCAGGCTCTGGCTCTGAAGGAGGAAATAAACAAGCAGGTGGCAACCTAGATATGTCCTGCAGGAGAAAGGAGAAGCCAATGCATCAACTCACCAATCAGGAAGTCACCATCTGAATTATAAAGGCATCTAAAGGAAAAGGAGAACAGGAAGGTCAAGGCTTCACTTGTACATATGCTCCTACGGAATCACAGCACAGCTGGAGCTGGACCTCTGGAGGTTACCTGGCCCAAGCTCTGCTCAAGCAGGGTCACCCAGAGCAGAGTGCCCAGGACCAGGACCAGACCATGACCGTAGCAGCAGAGTTTTGAGTTGGGAGACCAACAGAAATGCAGCAAATGGGTCGGGGAAGGTGACACACGGGCAGGTGCAGGTTTGATGTGTACAGCCTGCTAGCAGGTTCTTTTCCCACTTCGTGCTGTCTCTGTGGCCTCGGATGAATCAGCCTTTGGCAATGGGTAGCGATGCCCTCCAGAGGCTGTATTCACCTCCGAGGAGCTTTGGTCCCTGGTACAAGAGCCTCTGGGCCCATCACATCTCCTTTGCCTGCATCCCCGCATACATCTCCCTCATTCAGCCCAGCCTCCGACAACCAGTCCCTGACCTGTCAAGCATGGAGGTGTTGCAGACGAAGATGTGGATGGCGATGCCGTTGCGTCCTCGTGGCTCTCCAGCGCCACACAGAGTGTGCAGACCCTGCAGGCAGACCCCAGGCCTTGGGAGTGAGTGTCAGGCAGTCAGGATATGCAGCCCCATCCTGCTTCATCCCATCCCTTGGCTGTGTATCAGCCAACTGCCTTGCCACTTTTTGCTTTAGCCAATTATGCAGTTGGCTTTTCTTTGAAATCCTAAGCCCTGGCACCCCAACTTACGCTCACGAAGTCCAGCTTGTTCTGGGAGGCTTTCGGTATTTCAAAGGGCTTCCATCTCATCTAAGTTGCAGCAAACAGAAAGCAAAAAGGGAACAAGGTGGTTATAAAGTAAATAATGGCAATTCAAAAGGAAGCAGCCCGCTCCCCCTCCCTATTGCCCTGTACTTGCTGAGATAGCTTCTGTTTCCTCTTTGCCTTGCTTAATTTGGTCTGCAGGTTTCTTTTGATTTATGGAGCTCTTTCCCTTTGAGTCATAATTTTGTAAAGTAATTGGCTGGCCTGTCTGAGAGCCAAGGTTGGTGTTTTTTGTTTTTTGTTTTTTGTTTTTTTTAAATCCTATTTAAAAGCTGTCCGTTCCCCTATTACTAACAATAGTGCTGAGAGCAGGGAATTTCCTCCCAAGGCCTAGCCGGACCCCTAGGCAGAAGGTGCCAGAGGAGTTCCCTGTGTGCTTGTTACTACTGAAGAGCATCATTAGGGTCTCACTGTATCTCTTCAGAATCAGGTGCCACAGCTATGAGCCCATTGCAGGAGGAATTTTGGTACAAATTCACCCAAGCACCTGAAATCTGCAGGATAGAAATGGCTGATGGCCATGTCTCCTGCACAGATATGCTGTACCTCAGATGAAATGCTAGTAGCTCTGGGCATCCAGAGGTGAGCATTTCTTTACTATGAGAGTGGTGAGGTGCTGGAACAGGCTGCCCAGAGAGGTTGTGGATGCCCCATCCCTGGAGGTGTTCAAGGCCAGGTTGGATGGGGCCCTGGGCAGCCTGGTCTGGTATTAAATGGGGAGGTTGGTGGCCCTGCCTGTGGCAGAGGGGTTGGAGATTTGTGATCCTTGAGGTCCCTTCCAACCCTGGCCATTCTGTGATTCTGTGATCCGGGAGCATGGTAGGATTGGGCAGCCACTGATAGCACGGACACATGGATAGACAGACAGCAAGAGGAGACACAGAAGGCATCAGGGATAGAGTGGGGAAAAGAAGAGAAAAAATTCAGGTTACGAAAGTGGTCTAAAAGGAAGTAAACAGTGGGAGAAGGAGAGCAGAGATCAGCTTGCAATCCAGCCCACAGATCATCATTGAGGATGGTGCTTCTCCTCCCAAATTTTTGCAAGCTGCTAGGCCACTGACTGGTTCCATGTGCTGTCTACCCAGAGGGCCCTTGTTGAGTTTGCACTTTACCACTGTAAGTACAGCAGAACTGGGGTGCCGAGTCAGACATCCACATGGGTGCTTAAAACAGGGAAGCTACCACTGGTGTTTCATTTTCTCCCTGCCCAGAAATCGTGGCTTTCTTTGGCACCTCCTTTTGACACTGGAGAGCTTTCTTCTGCATCAGCATTCCTTGCAATGGATGCCATGCCTTATTTTTTCACCCTCTCTGTCCCCGTCTATGTTTTGTGTACAGTGTGCTTTTTATAACTCTGCCATTGTCTTTGGGCAGCATTCAAGGCAAAGGACTTTCTTTTTTCTTCCCATTGACTTCAATGAGCTGTGCATGAGATGGCTTCACATGGTAATCCCTTCAGATGGATGGCAGTGGGGAAAGCTGTGTTGTGAACTAGGTGAAGTGCAGAATGCCATGGGGAGCTGGGGATGGGCTGGGAGCCTGCATGGCTGCAGTTGAGCTGTGTTTGGGAAGGAAAACTACAGGAACCTATACAGCAGCCTTTTACCTCTGCTTGGTCAGTGGCTGGAAAACACGTTCCCACAGAACCAGAGAAGTATTTAGACAAATGAGGAGGCAACCGGGAGGCTGCAGGATGGCTAACGATGATGCATCAGAAGAGAGAGGAGTAGAAATCAATGAGCACGAGGTTATGTCAAGAGGAGCACAGCAGGAGGAGAGAGGCAGATTAGCAGAACTAAATGTCCTGGGGCTGGCAGGAAAGAAATAATGATTAAAGATGATAGCAAGGCCGTAACAGAGGGAAACAAATGCTGTGCCTCTCCAGAATGGAGTTTGATTTCCCAAGAGAGCTGCAGAGGAGCAGGCTGGCATCCAGCAGCCTCCTGACGGGAGGTGTAGGCCTCAGCTTGAGCCTCTGATGCGGGAGGATGAAGGAGCAGCCTGCATCCTCCAATCCCACATCATACCAAAGGCTGTCCCCCTCCCTGGCTGGAGTACAAGGTTACCTGGTTGGGGTCAGGCTCTGTCTCATCCCAGTTGTGTGTCAGATGGCCCTCGTGCAGAGGCTGGAAGGGCTTGTGGCAGACAGAGGGCAGGATCCGATAGAGCCAGCTGTGGACAGGGACATGGATGGGATGAGGCTGGGGAAGTGGTGAGGTACTCTGCACAAATGAACCCCAGTGGGCAGGAGGAATATTTGTGGCCACTGGAGCAAGTGGTACATTAAATATTGAATGTTGTCTCACAGTCAGAGACTTCCAGAGAGGTAGGGGGAGTCTAGAGGGATTTTATTGTATCTGTGGCTGAAATACAGCTACTTCTCAGGTGGGAACAAAGGCTACATAAAGACTGAAGTTCAGGCAGCACAAGGATGAGCATAGTACGTAACTAAAAGACCAGAGGAGCTTCAGGAGCTAAAAGATCACAGCCAACACCTGAATTTGGGTGGATTGCTGAAAGTAGCATCCCGTATGGCTGCATACACCCATAGGGTCAAAGTTTTATGGGAGATGAGGTCTCCTAGCACCACAGAAAGTCCCCCATGCCTCCATCACTGTCAGAATATTATTTGAGGTCTCTTCCTGATCACTGTGAGAGCTGCCAGCCCCCTACCTAGTGTGATTCCACTGCCCAGTTGGATGCTGAACATTTTATGCCACCATCCTTGGAGGTTCAGCAAAGTGGTGGGGTCACCATGTCATCCTACACCACTGGAGCAGGGCAAGCTCTTCTGATAGAGGGCAATGGCAGCCCAGGAATGGACATCTCAGAAGACCCTCAAAAACACCTGAGTCTGACACTTGGTTTGTCCAAAGCAAAGGTTTCTCAATCCAGGGCTGATGTCAGTGTCCTGCCCCTATGTCCCAGGACATCCAAGGGCACCTGCGTGTGTCCTGATATGTCCCCACACGTGCCACCATCATACCTCCTCCTGTTGGTGGCCCGGGGACAGGTGAAGGCTGAGCCCGAGAGCTGCTCCGCGTAGAGGCCGTAGGGGCAGACCTGTGGGTTGTTCTGCAGCAGGGAGAAAGAGGAACCACCAGTGAAGGATGTGAGGCGTTCGCAACCCTGTTCAGTCTGTGTACAGCCCAGGCAGCCCTATATCCCCACTGTCAGGATGCTGGTTGCCTAATATGTACCAGCCCAACCTAAAATCCATTCCTCTGCAGCATCACCTGGAAGCTCTCACAGCCATAAGGAGCTGCTAGCACCAGAATGCAGTGAGAGCACCACAGTAAAGAGTGTTATTCCCAGCACTTACAGACTGTACATTATTACAATTACAGTTTCTCTCCGTCTCTCTTCTTTTGTTTTTTCTTTCTTTCTTTTTTTTTTTTTTGGAAGCCATACACTGTTCACTGCTTCCTTCCCTTCTGCAGGTTCTCGGTGAGAATCCTGTCCCTGCCATGCTGGGTCACCCTGCAGTATCAGCTGCCAGGGAAGAATCAGTAAGAGGAAAAGCTCCCATCACATATCTCCTAGCCTCCAAACTCTGTCTTGTTGGCAAAGGTATGCAGTGGAGCAGGGGGATCAATAGCCTTTGTCATTTTTATCTGAGCCAGCACGACTGCAGATGCTGGTCTTACAAATACTGCAGTGGAGAAAGGATCCACCCTTGGGACTGAAGATTTTCCATCTACTTCACAGTCAGATTTTCTATTAACTCTTTCCATACTGAGCCCAAGCTCTGTACTGATGAGGGCTCTTTGGTGGGGTACTTCAGCAAAGCCAGCCTGGAAATTCCTGCTGCCATTAGGAGACCCACAGAAAAGAGAGAAAGGACTGAGTGCATAGCACCAAATGAAAAGTGAATCCATTAAAACAATCCAACATGGTGCATTTTAATCGAGTGTATTCTGAAGTTTTTTATTTCTAACCACAAATCTGCCCACTTACAACAGCTCATGGAGGGCAGCTGCCATCCTGCCAATGGCCAGTAAACCCATTGAATTAAATCCATTCCTGCTGAGATCCACAGCAGTGTGTACTGTCCCCAGGCCAAGCCTCAGACTTCTGCTCTGACTCAGCCCCCATCAGTTCCCTCCTACTCAGCATGCCCAAGCCACTTCCATTCCCAAATCCTTTTGGAAAAGCTGCTCCTGAGCAGAGGAAAGCCAGGCGAGTTGCAGCTCCCAGGCAAAACTTGGAATCTCACAAGTAACTTTAACGTAGAAAGCATAACGGGAAGTATTTAATTATGATTTTTGCCAGCATCTCACTATTCTCATCTTGCATAAGGGAGGCTCCTGAAGACTTTCATTGTGGAAGAGAGAAAGAAAACGCATTAATTTAGAAGGAAGCCCAGGGAACAGATACTCATTCTGCTCCATGTCTTTTTAATTAAGCATTTCCACAAACTCAAACTCTGTACCTGTCCCTCTGGTAGAGCTCCTGGACAGCGTGGGTCCTCAGAAGCATGCTCGTTTCCAAATCCTGACATGTACTGTAAAGTAAATCACACAATTCTTCAGTGTTTTGAAAACACAAGTGAAACCTCCCCAGACAACTCACCCCTCCCTTCCCCGTGCTTTTTTTCCACAATCTTTCCATGCACTGAGACTTTCCCCAAGCGGCCTGCTTGCTTGCTTCCATGCATCATCTTCCCATCTCCAAAGTCAGTTTCACTAGCCAACCCTGTGGTGGGCTGAGAAGCACAATCAGAACCTGCTCTTCTGTTAGACATGCATGTACATTTTGTTGACATCCTGTGCCTGGGATTGAGACTGGGGGTCATTTGGTTGCACGGTTCTCATGACACGTCTCCATGGCCATCACAAGAAAAGTCAGGACTTAGCTGGGATGAGGAAGGAAATAAGGCTCTGCTGGGACTTCAGCATCTCACTGATTTGCCCTAAATGAGTGTAACCCAGAGGGGTGTGAGCTGCCTACTATGGCAGCAAGCAAGAATTAAGGTGACCATCTAGGGCGCTAGGGCAGTGTAAGGTGAGGGACCCATCCAACATGTTCTGTGTGAGGGCACAGTGGAGGGCTGCAGGACCTCAGGGGAGGCAGCCCCTCTGATCCTACAGAACGAAGCAGCCCCACTGCACCCCGCATGAATGCAGAGGTATTTTGGCTGCGATCAATCGCTCAGCCTCGTGGCCCAGCAACAGAGTTAAATATTCATGCTGCCTGCTGTCCCTCTCCGTTCAGGCGCTCGTGATACTGCTGGGAGGCAGCTTGTTCACTCAGACCTCCCAGCTTCACATCGACCTTTTGAAAATTCTTTACTTTCAGTGTGGAAACCACTCCCCTGGCACAAAACGTGCTGCAGCCCCATTTTCTAGGGTAGGCAGGAAGGCATTTAGCTCGAGTTGGAGCAAGGTGCTTGCCCAGCTGTCCAACTTGGACAGAACAGTGCTGCCGTTGCCTTGAGCAGAGCTGGATTGTTTGTTACTGCGGTGCCTGGATTTCTTCCCCCCATTCTCAGATTTTGCTGAAAAAACATGAGTTTTTCTCAGGTGCCTGTCAGCCATTTGTGAAAAAGAGAGTCCCTTCCCAGAGGGATTCTTGCTGGCCAGAAGCCCTGCCTCACCCGAACCTGCTTTCTGTAGGACTGGGGAGGATGGATCTCTCCTTACCCACTCTGCTCTCCACCTGCTTCTGCACGAAGCACATTGATATGCAAAGCAGCAGGTCACCTAACCACCCTTGGCAAAGGTATTGTGCCGGAGCATTTCTGCCTTTCTTTTCTTTTTTCCCCTCCTTCTGAAAGGAAATGCAGCACTACCTGCTGGAACTGCAGCAGTTCCTGAGTGAACCCACATCTCCCCACTGCATTCTCCTTCACCAGCTGCAAAGGATGGAGGCAGGAGGGAGCCCTGGCTGGCAGGCCAGCCTCTTCAAACAGGGAAAGAAAGGGGCAGGTAAGGATGCTCAGCATATGAAGGGTTAATGAAACTGCTTTGCAGAACATCACCCCTGTCTGCAAAATACTCAGGCTTAAAGCTGGTGGAGAGTCTTTTTTTGGCGAATGCAGAGAGAAGCTGCTGCATCATTGTTCAGGCAAATCAGTTTTTCTCTGCTAGGGGAAAAAAAAATAAATCCTCAGGTAACTGCATTGAGGGCTAAAAAAAAGATACTTCCCTCTGGCGGGCAGGACTGCAGCTGTGGGAGTCAGACGATGTCCTGATGGTGATTTATTGTCCTGTGGTTTCATTGCTCCGGGTTTTACCTGGCTGTTTGGTGCGACTTTTCTCATTCACTCACTTTCTTTTGTCATTCCGCTGGGGAGGGTTGCCTCCTCGCCTTTCCTTCAGGGGTCAGCATAGAACACGATGTGGTTTGCCAAAAAAATCCTGCACAAGCTCCCACGTGTAAATGCATGGCTGGGGAATTAAAGCTTGCTATTTGCATGCTCATATTCTGGCTGGGGAGTAGAGAATTTGTTTATTTATTTATCTTCCTTTTGTGATTTTATTTGCCTTTTAGTTTATTTTCTAAGTAAACCAGTGCTGATGGATAATTAAAACGTCATGGAGCTCAGATGCTTTGCAGCAAGAGGAAACAGCTGCTCAGGTCCAGCTTTGAGCTTGGCTCAGAAAGGCTGAAAACCTCCTAATGAATGGCTTTCCTTTTCTGTTGTCTCCAGAGTGCAGCCACGGTTGTTAGGCTGGCTGTTCTCATCCCCTGCAGGCCAGAGGGGCAATGGGGTGTTTTGGGGCATTGCAACCCTTCTTCCACATGATCAGCTGTCCTTCATGGCAAAGCCTTCTTCCCCACGGCCAAACCTTCTTCTCCATTACCTCTCCTTCATCTCCACGACCACTTTTTATTCTCCACAACCAACCCTTCTTCATGACCAACCCTTCTCCATGACACATCACAGGGCAGTGACCTGCTACTCAGTCCCTGCTCCTCCTCCATGGCTCCTAGCTGATCAGGGACTTTTTTAGTTATTGGGCAGGTGAGTTCTCCGTGAAACAAGAAGTTCTCTGTGGTCCTTTGCTTTCTCTTCTGCATTCAATTATTGTCATTATTTTGTTCGTGATCCCATAGATTTTTATGTAAGCAGGAGTGTGTCTGATTCCACCTTGTTTTTGTTTTGTTGCTTTTCAGTAAAATAGGAGAGATGAAAGCGCAGCACAGCATTAAAAATTCAGCAAAGCGCATTGATTGCACTAACTGGGATGCAAAGCAGAGAGCTCGCAATGGGTGTCACGCTCTGACCTATAAACCATAACCTTTTGTTCACCAGATTAGACAGCAGGGATGGGAAAAAAATGCATTTGAAGTCTGAACACATGGGCTGCAAGATAATTAAGGCCCTTCTTCAAACGCTGCATAATACACTTCCCTATCTGCTGCTGCCGCAGGATGCACGAAAGGAACATTCATCTCTGCACCAACAGCTCACTGCCTTGTCCCAGCTCAGAGGGGCCAACACTGGCACGCTTAAGGCAAACTTAGAGGAAGATGAATGAAAATAGGGGCAGTAGTGGGGTGAAAATAAATGGGCTTCCTAGCAGTGCCAGCCCCTGTGTCTGGGGAGGAACACGGTGGTCCTGGATGAGATGTCACCCACTGTAACGATGAGCTGGTCCCCTACGCCACAAAAGTTCTGGCAAAATTTGAGATTGCAGGCCTATAAATGAGCAATAGAACAACATCCTGCCTTCATTGCAATTCACCCTGTGCTGGGAGAGGAGGGCATGGCTTGTCAGGAGAAACAGGCACTGAATTTTCCATTTACACTGAGGCATTGACCAAGGCTGGAGCTTCCCTAGGCCACTGGAGAAGATTGCACCAAGGTTGCAACAGCAGGGCAGATGTTAGTGGCTAGATTTCATAGGCTGAGGGGGAAACACCTCCTGGCAGCAGGGCAAGAGGGAAAGGGGAAAAAAAATAAGGTAATGCAGAGGTCCAGAACAGGCCTAGCCATATCAAGAATGATTTCCAAAGGAGAAGAAAGTGATAACAGCCCATTTAGATGAAATATGGCAAAATCCTATATCTTGAGAGGTCTTTTAAACACACCTTAAAACACAAAAGGGAGACAAATTGCAACTAAATGGGATGTTACCATAAACCTATCACCAGACTGCAACTGCACAGCTCACTATCCTGCACCTCACTTCCACCAGCCCCTCTGGAGGGATCAGTTGGGTAGGCTTGGTGCCAAGGGAAGGGATGACAAGGGCAGGCAGCCTCTCAGTCCCAGCACGCACAGTCTCTCACCTTCAGGCTTGTCATGGTCCTCTTGGTCTTCCTCCTTTGTCAGCAGGTTGAAACTCCAAGCAGTTTAAATAGCCAACACAGCTTGAAGTGTTTTCAGAAGTGTGGTGTGAGTGTCCAGCCAGGAGGGCTGCATCAATTCAGCTGAGCTGGTCACGGACTGGAAGTGAGAAAGTCCAAGAGAGCTCTGGAATTGTTTGCTCAGCCCAGTCTGTGTTTAATCAAACACCAGCCTTCCCCCTGGGCCAGTCCTGGGAAGGGTTTGGAAATAAGAAATGGAGGTGAGGGGGACACTGTCACTGCTGCTTTTTCTCATCAGCTTTTAAACAAGGGCTTGTAGTTCCTACACATGGGCGAGAAGACAAGGCAAGGCATTTAAGAACAAAGAAAAGTCATTTTTGCAACTTATTTATGAGCCTCTACTATAAATCACACCCCTAGCAATTTTTGTGTACGGCCCTCTAAATGCATAAATACACATTTGCTCATCATGCCTCCGAGCCACATCGCATCTGGTCTTAGGGGACAGAAGGCATCATATCCCCATGCTGGCGAAGTCAGTGATATTGGTGCAACACTGCGTGGCAACGTTACACAGCACTTCAGGGGCAGAGGCAGGGGATGGCTCTGTACTTTACCATTACAGCTGGTGAACAAAACTTACAAAACTCTGAAATATTAATATTTTGCAGGAAAGCTGTTGCCAAGGAAGGAGCAGAAGCAAGCAGGTGGCACAGAATGCTAATGAAAGCAACTCTGCATTTCCAGAAGTTGCAGGAAAAACAAAAGAGCAATTGATTTTATTTGATTTTTTCTTTTTTTTACTTTGAATTCTCCTCTATCTTAAAAAAAAGAAAAAAAAAAGAAAAAAAAAAAAGTAGCAATGTTTTTTTCCTTTCTGCTCTGCTGGGAGGCACACATCCAGATTTAGATATGACCCTGTGGTTAACATGCTGTGAGAGGGAGAACTCCTAACAGCATGCCTTCTCCAAAAACCTCCTTATACCGCCCTCAGTAACACACCAAGGCCACTGAGACCTGCCACTTTTTAAGGTCTACAGAGAAAGGGAATGCCTTTGCTCAGTGCTAGTGCTGGGTAGATGCATTGCTCTAAAACAGCTCTTCTCCATGGATGTGACAAAATGGCTCCAGTTCTGCTACCTGTTCTTCCAGTGACAGCACTGGCAAACTAGGCTGACTGCTATAAAAGAGTGAATGAGGTATGTGAAACAGTGTAGTCAGCTGGACTAAAGAGGTGATCATCCCTCTGCTCTGCTGAGGTCACACCTCAAGTGCTCTGTTCAGTTTTGGACCCCTTACTACAGGAAAGACATCGAGGCCCTGGGGTGTGTCCAGAGAAGGGCAATGGAGCTGGTGAGGGGTCTGGAGCACAAGTCTTACGAGGAGCAGCTGAGGGAATGGGGATTGTTCAGTCTGGAAAAGAGGAGGCTCAGGGGAAACTTTAATAGTCACTATAGTACCCTGAATGGAGGTTGTGGAGAGGCGAGGGTCAGCCTCTTCTCCCAGTTAACTAGGGATATGGAGAAAGGTAGTGGCCTTCAGTTGCATAGGAGAAGGTTCAGGTTGGATATTAGAGAAAAATTATTCTCAGAAAGAATGGTGAGGCACTGGAACACACTGCCCAGGGAAGTGGTGCAGTTCCATCCATGGAGTTGTTCAGTAATTGTAAATGTGGCACTGAGGGACATGGCTACTGGGCATGGTGAGGATGAATCGATGGTTGGACTTCATCTTAGAAGTATTTTCCAACCTTAATGACTCTATGATTTTGTAAGTCTGTGATTATTGATAAGGGAGAGGTAGTTTGCCTCGGATATCCCTCTTAGGATGACACAATAATATTGGTCAGGAAGGACTTGAGAAAGTCACTACAGCAATATTCAGCTTAAATCAGTCAGTTTTGAGATCATACCAGTCTGCCTAAGGCTTTATGCAGTACTGTTTTGAAGACTTCTAAGGATGGAGAATGCACAGTTTCACCTGGCAGCTGTCCTCGTGGTCAAAAAAAAGTTTGACTTCTATGCAGCTTGCTCCTCCCATGTTTGAGTTAGTGGTAGATGTCTTATCATGGACAACTGTGAAGAGCTAGGTGCTATCTATCTTCTTGGTATCCTCCCCACGGGTTTTGGTTCTTCCAAAGCTGCACCATTTACAGGCCAAACCAGCCAGTCTCTCATCAGAGGAGGGCTCCAACCTCTGAGCACTTTGGCTGGCCACCATTCAACTAACAGCCATTTGTCAGTCCTATGTTGGTGAGGCCTAAAATTGGATACAGCACCTCCTCTGTCCTACAATTCTTGTCTTCCAAAAGCAGGAGCACCACAGCCAAAGCAGTCCACAGCACTTCACCAGCTCCTTGATCGCTTTTTTTTGTTTGTTTGTCCATGTGGCTGACAAGTTTTGAGGCAGTCTGTCTTCATTTTTTGCATGCTGTTTCACACGTGGCAAACACCAAGTGAACAGGAGCACAGCAAGCACAGATGCCTCGTGGGAGACGTGCTGTGAGGAAATTGCTTGGAAATGGAGATAGAGAGATGTGGTCAAAGACTTGTCTGGAAAGATCCAAGGCATTAATTGACAGCACTGTCTGCAGTTGGTGTCTCATAACCAGTAGAGACAATGAATGTTCTGAAGAGATGGCTAAGAAAGGAAGCGTCCCATTCTTTCACAAACTCTGGGGATTTCTGTCTGTTTGAGATCAAGATTGGCCTACGGTCTCCAGCTTTCCTTGCTTAGACACTGCTGGGACTAAGTTTAGCTCTCCTGGCTTCATGAAGCTAGAGGTTATGCCACGCAGTTACCAGGAACAGACTTGGCTACCCTGATTGTGCAGTGTAAGGCCGCAGTGCCTAGCTGATGTTTGCTCTAAAACAGATAGAAATTTATTCATATTACAATGTGAGCACACTGGGGACAAGTTCAACTGAGAATATCGACTGTTTTGAGTACTGTGTTCAGTTTTGGGAGTACTGTGTTCAGTTTTGGGCACCTTAGTACAGAAAGGACGTGGAGGTGCTGGAGAGGTCCATAGAACGGCAAGCAATGAGGCTCGTGAAGGGCTTGGAAAATCAGCCCTATGAGGAGAGGCTGAGGGAGCTGGGGCTGTTTAGTCTGGGAAACAGGAGGCTGAGGGGAGACCTTATTACTCTCTTCCAGTACCTGAAAGGTGCTTACAGTGAGAGCGGGGTTGGTCTCTTCTCACTGGTGGCAGTGACAGGACGAGGGGAAATGGCCTCAAGTTGCAGCAGAGGAAGTTTAGGTTGGATATCAGGAAAAACTCCTTTACAGCAAGGGTTGTTAAGCACTGGAATAGGCTCCACAGGGAAGTGGTTGAGTCACCATCCATGGATGTGTTTAAGAGCCATTTGGATGTGGATTTGGATTTAGCAGAGGGTTGTCAGAGTTAGGGTAGTAAATTTAGGCTGTGGTTGGACTTGATGATCCTTGAGGTCCGTTCCAACCTGAGTAATTCTATGATTCTATGATTTTGTTTTGGCAGCACCTGAATGTCTGAACCACACACCTGGACCCCCTTGTGCTAGACTCCAGAAGAACGTAGACATAACAATCTAGTTATAAGTTATAAAGTTATAAGCTTTCTTTAGTTCTCAGTTACTGATTGCCATCTTACATATGCCCAGGAAGGCTCTCTCTGTACACTTGCTTCTTCTAGCATTACCATAAGAAATCATGTCAGCACCAAGGAATTCTCTGCTTCAAGCAGAGCTGCAGATAATTTAGCTACCCCTGAACAGCGATTTATCATAGCCAAAGAAATAAAGTACTCGGCATCTGCCAGCTACTCTGGAGACTCCTTTCCTACCAGACAATATGTAAAGGTAGAGTTTATCTCACATTTTCTGACACTGAAGAATTACCTGTTTTGGAATACAAAGTTACAAAGTTTCAGGGCCTTCAGGATTCGCTTCTCCTTGAGCCATGCAGTAAGACCTCATTTTACATTATTTTTCGAAAACCTACATTTCATTTTGCTTAATAAGTTTTTATAGATCCTGCTCACTTGTCTTCTTCTGATGTGGACAGATGAAAATAAAGGCCTAGTTTTTATGTAGGATGCTCCAAAAGTAATGCCTCCCATTTATTTCAGTTAAAACTACAACAGGTACAAAGAGCACAATAACACTATTTGATAGAGCAAATTCTCAGCTACAAAACACTAGTTTTCAACGTAGTCACCACCACTAGCTATGCATTTTTGTCAGCAATGAACAAGAGCCTGCATGCCACACTTGTCAAAATCTTCACGGCCACCTGGGACATGGCTTATCTTTCATGTCGCTTTTGACACCACTGACACCCACCACCACTGCCTCAATGTGCTCACATCCACTGGTCTCTGTAAATGTCCAGCAAGCATTGATGAATGCCAATGGATGCCATTTTTTCTGCATGGAAGAATTCAATGACACACCTTTAATCCACCCACACTTCCATGCCAATGTCATTTTGTTGGATTGCCCCTCTGCTGCCGATTGTCACACAGCAACAAAATTGAAGGTTAAACCTTTACTGTCATACCAGCAACATCCACCTCTGATTTTGTGAGCTAACACAATAAAATAGGAAACGTTACTTTTGGACCATCCCTCCTAACTCTGGGCAGACCTACTTCCTACTTGTTTTCTTCTCTAACATAAGGAAATACATGGCGTAATCATTTTACTCACTTGACATGCTATACCAATGTTTCAAAGCTTATTAATCTGTCTACCCTCGCTTTTCCATTCTACTCAGGGAAAAACATAATGAGATGCTGCTGAACTAAGGTTTCTGGCCTTTTTGATTTATTGATCTCCAAATTATACGAAATGCAGAAAATAAAGCTTTTTAACATATCTGTGGTGTTTCTGACCCAGCCTGTCCAACTTAGGAGGTAAATCGTAAATCCATAGACTATTCCCCATTGCCTTGTTGTCCTTCATGTGTCACACTGCAGTATGTTGCCGAGAGCTATTTGTGTTCTCTGGTGATGAAGGTATTCAAAACTCAATTGGACATAGTTCTGGGCAACTTGCTCCAGTTGTTTCTCCTTGAGCAGGGGTATCAGATGCTCTCAAGAGGTCTCTTCCAACATTAGTGATTCCGTGGTTCAGCTTTGCCAACTCCTTTAGTTACTTGGAGGGGTTCTAAAATATAGATCTTATG